TTTTTGCATTGAAAACTTGATTATAACATTTACTCTGTGAGAGTGTGTTGAGAATCAAGATAGAAATGAATCAGGAAGAAATGTCTCTATGGATGTGTTTGCCAGTTACAATCTTACATCAGAGACATGGGTTGGAATCTTCCATTTTCCCACTAATATTTTTCCTAAGAATTCCTCACTGCATACAACTAAGCTATAGAAAAGATCTCAAGCTCTCAGGAATCACGACTCCTTTCATAACTAACAGTAGTAGTACTGATACAGGCTGCCGTAGTTTGAAACAAAATGCCCTCTCCTTCCCCCCCCGCCCCCCAAGAGGTCCATGGGTTTGAACATTTGGTCTTCAGCTGGTTGGTGGTGCTGTTTGGAAAGGCTGTGGAACCTTTAGGAGGGGAGGTCTTGCTGAAGGAAACACTGGACTTCGAGGTTTTATTGCCTCACCCCACTTACTTCCCTCTCTCTCTGCTTCCTGACTGCCTGGCCTTCCCCTCCATGAAGGACTGTATCCCTTCTAAACGGTAAGCCAAAATACACCCTCTTTGTCTTAAGTGGCTTTTTGTTGGGGTAGTCTGTCACAGCAACAGAAAAGTAACTAAGACACAGGTCTTAAAGGTTACAAGAAATGGAATAAAACATAATGAGGTAAGTACGCTGTCATCTAAACCTATTTGTGATTTTTAATATAGTCTTTCCTGTTGCCTTCTAAACTTTGTTAGGACCCCGGAGAAAGGGCAAGACACTGTAGGAATATGCTTGATATATAGTTGGATTAAATAACAACCTAATATATCAAACATATCACACAGAGGCCTGCAGAAAAGGCATCCTGGTTTGACTGAGCTTGAGGATAGGTACAGTACTGAAGGCTATGGCTGCAGGAGCCAGTCACCCTGCAGTATCTCCCAGCCTGCCTCGGAGCACAGGTGTGTCTGTAGGTGCGGAAAGGGTACCATCAGCAACCCTGCTGGCACACGCTCTGAGCCCGGGACCATTTCCCAAATAGAAGGGAGTCTGCGCATCTGTCCATCACTCACATCTGGGAGATGACAGGTCAAAGGAGATGCTTCAGTGGTCAGGGCCCACGGGGGAACTATACCAGGACCATCTTCAGCTGCCATGGACTGTTCTTTTAAACCAGACAACCCGAGAATCAGGTGATGAAAGCAGCATGAACTCATCACCTTCCCTCTCCAAAGCTATTCCTCAAAGCAGCACAGGAACTCAGCAGGGATGAAGGAAGTCCCCTTCCTGGGCATGTGTGAGCATGTGTGTGTGGGAGGGGTGGGAAGTCCACCTCCATGGGCATGTGTGAGCATGTGTGTGGGGGAGGGGTGGTCACAGTTACAGTGGCAGCGATCCAAGAGCAACGGCCATTTATGGCACCCTGACGACTTTTTTGTTTTGTTTTTTGTTTTTCAAGACAGGGTTTCTCTGTATAACAGCTCTGGCTGTCCTGAAACTCACTTTGTAGACCAGGCTGGGCCCAAACTCACAGAGATCTACCTGCCTCTGCCTCCCGAGTGCTGGGATTAAAGGCCTGTGTCATCACGCCTGGCTGAGGACTTTTTTTTTAAGGTTACAGGAGAGGATGGAGAAAAGTAACCTCAAAATGTTGGCTGATTTTATTGTTTCAGTTCATAAAGGCGAGGAGAAGATTATACACCAGGGAAGAAGTTTCCCAAAGTGTTTGGCCCTTCTAGCAAAACAAAAGCTGCATGCTTCGGGATGGTAAGATTCCTTGAGACACTTTCATGGGTAATGCCTACGTGGCAGGAGCCTCTGGTCGTCAGGAAGTTTACCCTCCACTGTTCCAGAAGTAGCAGCCACTCTTCCCAACATGAGGTTGGGAGCCATCTAAAGTGAACACCATCAAATAAAGACGTCACATCAATGGTGCTCACTTCACCTTCACAGAGGGATCCCTCGGCTCTCCCATAAAACCCCTACTGCAAATACAAAACATGGTGTGAGGGGTCCTCACTGGCCTCCCGCAGGACTTATCACTCACTTGCAATGTGTGTTGGTTTTCAAGCATCGTTTTCCAGAACATCAACACAGAACCTGTCATTTCCCAATCCCACGCCAATGCCTAGACATCCTCCGCCATCTCCTTGACTTCCAAGCATTGTTCATGGCTGCACACACCTCCATCATTTCTCCCTCACCTCCCCCGCGCCCCGTAAGGCATTCCACGAGCATCTTCGTGTGATACAGTCCCGGCAAACATTCCTCGTCACTGTGCAACAGCCTAATAGTTTCCCTTCAGGAAGACCCCGACTTCCCACTGCTACCAACAAGGCTTCACGGAGGAGCCTTCTCTCGCGGGTCTTAGATTTCTTCCTCAGAACAGGAACCCAAGGCAGGTCCCACAGCTTAAAAGACACTATAGAGAACCATTTTCTCTGCCAATGGGGGAAAGAGCGAACGGGATGGACAGAAACTACCACCCCAGCCACATGCCCATCCCTGCTCAATCACGTGGTCTGACTGTGGCGAGGTCGAGGGCCAGATGAGTTAATCCCTAATGAAGTCATAGATGGATCATGCCTTGTGTTCACTGCGGCCTTGTCACCCTCCTACCCCAGGGAATCCATGGGAGACCTTTTCTTTTATACATTTTGTGAAGACGAGAGATAAAGGTCTCATAGAGCACGTATTTGGTCACAGTGATGGCGACAATGGTAAGGACGCTACTGTTCACTAAGTCCTAGTTACATCATCGACTTAAATGTTTCAACAACCATCCCGCAGGATGAAGGAGAGTCCAGGAAGTCTGCTTTCCCCATCAAGAATACAGAAGTGCACGCGCAAGCAGACAGAGGAAAACGGACTAGAGCTCGGGAGGAGCCTAGAGAAGGCTGGACGTTCAACGAGCAGCAGGCTTCTGCACACACTGCAGGTGCCACCTGACCCACATGGAGCCTTCCCTGTGGAAGGGGCCTCTTAGGATAGACCAGACGAGCCTAATGACATGCAGATTCAACCACAAACCTCAAACTTCAGAATTAGACGCAGCCTTAAAGCACACTTTTCATCCCCTATGAACTTCATTTGCAAAGCAGTAACAAAAACCTAACTGGAAAATGCAGCTGTCTCTAGCCCACTCTCAGATCCCAAACTCTGATAGTGTCAGATGATCTGGGACCCCAGCAAACACAAAAGTCAGAGGTCAAAAATCTCAAATTACACCATGATGAGGAAAACCTGAAATGTGTTTGCCGTTGAAGCCAATGCTAGGAGGTCAGTCGGAAGGCTTGAAGGCTTCAGGAAAGCTCCTTAACAGATCATTAGCCTCCCGTCTACTGCACACACCTCTTCTAGAACATGGGTCGGTACATTTCAGCCCTCAGATTCCATCTTTCAGTCTGACAAAACTGGCAGAATTTTAGGCAGTCCTAAAGTGGGGGTCCAGATTTTTTTGGGTGAAAGGAGCCAAATTTTATTTCCTAACGTATTTGGGTCACTGGAGAGCGAACTATAGACACCCATAAAGATGTACTGAGATAGGAAGAAAATGAAGCCTCCGTGGTTCCACCATCTTCCTTAAGATGGCGACAGTGTGGGAGGGGAAACTGTAGCTGCTTACACCAAGGCTGAGCCTGACCCTGGAGATGGGCCAGCTCCTGCTGCCCCATAGAAAAGAATCTCTTTCCTTGACATTTCTCTTATAAACACACTAGCCAGCCAGCCAGTCTCCTGTACACACTGCAACTGCCTGTTGTTGGATTTCTCTTTGAGATGTGCATTATTCTGTATCTGTGTGTTTGCATGCAAATGCAGAAGTCAGGAGTCTACGTCAAGTATCTCCCTCAATTGCTTCTCTACCATATTTCAGTATATGTATATTTAAATTTATTTTTAATTATGCATACACGTGTGTGTGTGAGTGTGTGTGTGTGTGTGTGTGTGTGTGTGTGTGTGTGTGTGTGTGTCCATGAAGCCAGAGAAGGAATGGGATTCCTTGAAGTGGAGTTACAGATGGTTGTGAACCACCTGTTGCTGGTGCTAGGACCTGAACTTGGGTCCTCTGGAACGTGACAGCGAGCGCTCTTAACTGAGTCATCTTTCTAGCCACCCTGCTTAGTTTTTTGAGATACAGTCTCTGGTTGAACCTGGAACTTACTAGTCTGGACGGCCAGCAAGCCTCAGCAATCCTCCTGCCTACCCCCAGCTCCCTAGTGCTGGATTACAGGTGCACATCACCACGTGTGCTTTGTACGTGGGTGCTGGGAAATCCAAACGGTCTTCATGCTTCCCCAGTGGGTTCTTTACTGACTGAGCCTCTGCCCAGGCCTGCTGTTTCTAAGAAAACAAGGTCCTCAGTATTGTTACTTCTGTATGAAAGGTACAATGGAAACCAGGGAACTGAAGGCTCCCAATCTCCTACCTACTAACAGGAACTTCTGACAGAGAACATTGACAACCTGCTTTGCACAGTAGAATTACACATACCAAGCTGTGGATGCTCTGTTTCTCCTCTAAATAAGCAGATGTACTTTCCTTCCTTCCTTCCTTCCTTCCTTCCTTCCTTCCTTCCTTCCTTCCTTCCTTCCTTCCTCCCTCCCTCCCTCCCTTCCTTCGTTTGTTCGTTCCTTTCTCTCTCTCTCTGTCTTTCTCTCGTTCTTTCTTTCTTTTTGGTTTTTTGAGACAGGGTTTCTCTGTGTAGCTTTGGAGCCTCTCCTGGAACTCACTATATAGACCAGGCTGGCCTCGAACTCACAGAGATCCGCCTGCCTCTGCCTCCTGAGTGCTGGGATTAAAGGCGTGCACCACCATGCCTGGCTAGATGTACTTTTCTTGATAGTTAATTCACTCACTGTCGCCCCCCCTTCCCTCCACACTCTGTAAAGTGGTGCTGGGCAGGCAGAAGGTGTGCTGCTTCCTACCGTAACCATGGGGAGGGAGCGGAACTCTGTGGAGCATACTTAGCTCCGGTGGTTCACAGTCACCCACTAGGAGACAGACTGCAGGGAGACAGGGGACCACCAAGGAACACTCACCTTTGGTTTTGCTCTCGGCTTCAGCTGCTCTAACTTCTTGGCGGCAGCTTCAATGGACGCCGCAGCTCCCAGTAACTCTGTTTCCGCAATGACGGTTGGGTCTTCCGGATCCACCCACTCTGTTCCTAAAATCAGTCCCAGGAAAGTCATTCTTGGCAGGTGGAGACGTGAGGGTACTGGTGTAATTACAAACAAAATCTAAATACGCATTTTGAGCCTACTCTCTGCATAAGGGATCCCTATCTAGCTCTCCATCATCTGGACGTAGAGATTAAGGGGGAGCTAATCTGTTTTTTTTAAACCAGTTACATGTGTAGCCCTGTCCATGGGAATGGCCATCAATGGTGGATTCAAAATCCCATGGGTCAAGGCTCGAGTCTCACTCTGCCTTCTGATATATGCTCATGAGTACTGGGACATCCCTAGGAGACTCTGGGCCACAGAGCTTTGACATTCTCTTCAGGGAACATGTGGAAGGGTCACGTGCCTCAGAAAAAGTGCTTCCCTCAGTGAGTAAACTGCTTCTGTGTAAGCAAGGAAGGGTGTGTAAATGGTGTACTCAGTGCAATCCCCTATACATGAGAATATTATTACTATTATTAATTATAAAGTACTTACGTCATTTTAGTTTATGTGTATGGGTGTTTTGCCTGTATGTATGTATGTTTGTATACCATATGCATGCCTGGTGCCTGCAGAGGCTAGCAGAGGACATTGGATCCGCTGGGGGTTACAGGTGGTAGTGAGCTGTCATGTAGGAGCTGGGAATCAAACCTGGGTCCTCTGTAAGAGCAACAAGTGCTCTTAACTGCTGAGACATGGCTCCAGCTCCTAATTACATTTTTGGGGATGACTAGAGATTGAAACTAGGGGCTAGCACATGCTAGGCAAGCATTCCCCTACCAAGCTATATTCCCAGTTCCTCTCCCCTACACCTGCTTTTACTTGTTGTTGCCCAGTGTGGCCTTCAATGTGCTCTATAGCCCAGTCAGGCCTCAAGCTTGCAATTGTCTCGCCTGAGCCCCTGAGCATCTGGACTACAGTCCTGCAGTCTGGAGGCCTGGCTCATGAGGTGTATTATCCAAAAGACAATAGATAGCAACAGCTTGAATACAAACACAGCTAAAAATAAATGACAAGACTCCCATGAGAAGTGAAGAGTTCCAGATGGATTATTTCACGCAGGTAGAAGCACTCGATACAAAGACCAGAGCAAAACGTTATTTTAAACATTTAAAAAAAAAAAAAAAAAGAATCCTATGCTTTTTATTCTCATTGTATTGCTGTTTGCATCTACCAAGGAAGGACCTGTCTTGTTCCTCTGTCTTAGCACAGTACTCCAAGATGACATGAGGCCCTGACCCACCTTTCATGGCTTCCGCTGCCTGGATGAGCTCCGTGACAGCTCCAGCAACTCTCTTGGAGAAAGCAGCCAGCTGATGCTTGAGTTCTGGGGTCGGCTTTTGAAGGATCTGTGGGTGGAAAACATGTTAGATGCATGGTAGGGGAGTGATGCCTGATGGGAGTACACTCCTACTGGTGGAGAGGGACATCTCTGTGAAGGAGGATTTCAAGCTCTTGAGAGACAATAGACTCACCAGGTTTACACGACAGTGAAGCTGAGAATCAGGGGTGCCTCGACGGTCCCTTTTGACATAGTTACCAAAGATTATAAGGCTGATCCTTACTTGTCCTTCATTTCTCTTATTTTTAGATAAAACAAATACACAGATGTGTGAGAACACTGAGTGAGCACAGAAGTCCCAGGGGAAAGGTCAACTGAGACTTGAGACAAAGCAAACATGGAACCAGAGAAAATGTGGGATGGGGGCAGGGTTGAGGGCAAAATCCCCACATGAGCAACAGCTAACAGTTCAGGAAAGTCATTCCTGAGCCAACAACCCAGTTCTAGATTCTGATCATAATCTGTCCTGCAAGAGGATATGCTTTTTTTCTTTCTTTCTTTCCTTTTTTCATTATTCTTCCTTCCTTTGTTTTTTGTTTTTTGTTTTTGAGACAGGTCATTTTCTGTGCAACAGCCTCTGGCTGTCCTTGAACTTGCTCTGTAGACCAGGCTGGCTTCGAACTCACAGAGATTGACCTGCCTTTGCCTCTCAAGTGCTGGGATTAAAGGCGTGCACCACCACAGCCTGGCTTGATAGGAATATGCTTTCTTTTGACTTAGTTCAAAGTTATAAAACAAAACAAACAAACCTATTTTATTCATTCATTTTTTGAAATAGGGCATCTCCATGTAGCCCTGATTATCCTATGTAGATATGGTTGGCTTTGAACTCATGGAGACCCATCTCCCTGTCTCCCAAGTGCTGGGACTAAAGGCATGCATCAGCACGCCTGGCCTTATTGACTGATTGCGCACATGCTCTAGAGTGCACACACATGCCAATGTGGAAGTCAAAGAAGAACTTGCAGGAGTCAGTTCTCTCCTTCCACTATGTGGGATCCAGGGACTGAACTCAGGTTGCCAGGCTTGGTGGCAAGCACCTTTATCTGCTGTGCTTTCCTGCCAGCCCCAGAGGCTTCAAGATTTTTTTCTTATGGTTATTTAAAAAGGTACCAGGACTACTAACCAACTAAGAAACAAAGCAAGGGCTCCTTACTATCTTCTCCAGGACTTAAATTCTGAGGGGCATCATCCTGGCCCTTCCTCATTTTGAAATTCTCTTCTAACAGTTTTCTGATTCTCTTCCCTATATTCCAGAGTGGAAAACCTTCAGACACTTTAAGATGGGTAAGAGATAATATTGCAGCTGTCTGTGGACAACCATGGTGTCTCGGAGCTGAGGAACAAGTGCGGACTTTGGAGTTGGACAGGCCTGTGTTCAGACCAGGTTGCATTGGATACTGGTGTGACTAGAGAAACCATCAGAACCCTGTATCTCCTCTGTAAAGCTGGAACAAGGCCTGTCTCTGAGGACTGATACACAGACCAAATTAAAAACACACGAGAACCATCTCACTCAAGGCCCAGAATCCAGTAGGCATTCACATAACAGCAATTCTGTTCTTGATATCCTACACCCTTTAAAAAAAATCTGGCCAGGTAACATTGTATTTCTCAGTAGTATGGAAGAGATGGTTCTCAGACCTTAGGCCTAACTCCTCTGATTATGTTCCTAAAAGAAATGTAGTAAAAAAAAAACTGGGTTGGAGGAGTTTATGGGATACACTGTGACCAGCCCCAAACACATCAGTGTATAGATGATATCACATTATATATTCAAACTGATGAGCCAATCATTTTGAGTATTATTCCATATACATCTCTCTCCATCTTCCTTCCTCTGGTAATTAATTTTTTAAAAAAATTATGTATGTATGTATGTAGGTATGTGTGTAGGTGGGGTGGGTAATGTGACTGTAAGTGCAGGTACCAGTGGAGACCAAAAGAGGGCACTAGACCTCCTGGAGCTGGAGTTATAAGCAGTTGTGAGCTGCCCAATGTGGATGCTGGGAACTGAATTTAGATTCTCTGCAAGAGCAGTATGTTCTCTTAACTGCTGGTCATCTCTCCAGTTCCTCTGGTCATCTTTTAAAATTTGTTTTACATTTACTAATAATACTCTATGATTCTAGTTACTCTATTATTCTCATTCTCTCTCTCAAAGACCAAAAATGTTGTAGTCAAAATGATGCAGTATCAGTTTATAGACACCAGGGCAATGCTGAATAGTCTGTAACTAGATTTACATATACAGTTAATCAAGAGATTTCTAATGAAAGTACTAAGGTACCTTGAACTTGATAGGAACTAAAAATGGTGCTGGAAACACACACACATGTATTTATGTACACACACACACACACACACACACACACACACACGGGAAAAAATGAACAAATGAATGAACAGTAAGTTCTAATATGACAGCTTCCTTGAGCATTTCCAGAAACACACTAGAGTCCTGGGAAGACTGAAAAAAGAGGTGTCTTTTACCTCCTAACCCAGCCAGTGGACAGGCCATCTAACCAAGTGCATCTTCTGGAATCAATGCACCTGTGTAACTCTGAGCCCAAATATTTATCTACTCTCATCTTGCCTCAGTTTACATGCATATTAAATGAATATAACAGTCCTTTTCCCTACAGATTTGTGGTAAGATTATAAATGAATCATATAAAGGACCCCAATAGCATTACTTAGGTGCAATCTTAATATTAGTTAAAAAAAAAATTCCCAAGTGGTTCTTCAGTACTATCTTTGTCTGCAATAACTCTCAAGACCACTAACTGAATAATGGTCATGGCTCAGGCTATGACCTGCTAACCAATCCACAGACATTGTTAAATTATTACTCTGTTGTGGGCAAAAGGCCATGAATGCGAGTTAAAAGTAGGTAGGGTTATTCATACTTAGTGGTGAGCGACTGTCTTTCCACTGAGATAAAGAATATGGTAAGGGGGCTGCAGAGGTGGCTAGGTGGTTAAGAGCACTTATTGCTCTTGCAGAGGACCTGTGTTTGTATATCACCATCCCCATGGTGGCTCAAAACCATCTGTAATCCCATTTCCAGGGGATCCAGTGCCCTCTTCTGGCCTCCACAGGCATTACATTCACACAGTGCACATACATACATGCAGACAAACACATAAAATAATAACTAAATATTTTGAAGACTAAATTAAGGAGGCTTATTCCCATACTTCCATTAACATTGAACTAGAATTTTTAGCTAATATAATAAGGCAAGAAAAAGAAATAAATGATCCACATGGAAAGGGAGAGCTAAATTGTTTTTGTCAGCAGATGAGTGTAATATAGAAAACTCTAAGGTATACATACGTGTAACAACAAAAAAAACAAAACCCTTCCATAACCAGCAAGTGAGCTTAGGAAGACAGGACATAAAGTCAACATAAATATACTAATTACACTTCTAGACACTGGCAATGGAAAGCAGGAATGGTATGAATGAGGAATATATTCTAAACTCAAATTATGGGAGAGTCATATAAGCACACCAAAACCCAATTAATTATGTACTGTAAGTACATGCATTGTTGAATGTAAATTATACCTTAATAGGCTTGTTTAGTGTGTGTGTGTGTGTGTGTGTGTGTGTGTGTGTGATGGTACTAGGGATGGAATCCTGGTACATTAGGACTGTGTAAAACAGAGAGTGGACATGGTATTCAAAATGAGAGGTTAATAGGAAGTGAAATATAATCCCCAAAGTGATGTGATAACTTGGGAGAGCAGAGACACCCAGTCATCTTCACCATTTATTGCCCCTCATCCTCAAGGCTCACTATCTGAGATGTGAAAGATGTGCTTTTACTTTCGTATGTATCCAAGTCTCACTGTCAATTCCCCCTGCACTTTGCCATGCTGGTGTTTTCTTTCATGTAATAGGCACTGTCTCCCTTGCTCCATCTGTAGGCTATGAGATGAGAAGACAAGCCACATCCTGGAGAAGCTATGGAGATTCAAGAAAACATGTTGAACTCGAAAATCTAAGTGAGAAAAATCCACCTAAAGGGAGAAGATATCAATCCACATTTCAGCCAAGGAGATAAACAGAAGGCAAATGGGCAAAAAAAAGATACTTAAATTTGGACTGAATAGGTTAAAAAAAAAAAAGAGGACACAGATATGGATGGGTAGGGAAGGGGTGGATCTGGGAGAAACGCGACAAGGGATTGAATATGGTCAAAACTCACTGTATAGAATTCTCAAAGAACTCAGAATTTTTATTAAAACAATATTTAAACATGACAGGGCAGTAGACTCTTGTGATGGCTTGCACAAGACCCATGAAAGGTCAAGCCAGTCCAAATCTCAGCATGGTGGGGAGGGGGTTTATAAAATCCCACCCCTAACTGAGGAGTTACCAGCAACTGATGACTGCTGTAAAGAGTCAGTTTTCAGGGATGATACCTATGTTCAAGTAGGTGGTCCTATACCAACATTTTTCCATTAAGGAAAAAAAAAAGAGCACATAAAGTTGGGAGTGAATGCTAGTAGGGCAAGAAGGAACTGGAGGGGAGGAAATGGAGTGGACTTGACCCAAACATATTACATCCATCTATGAAATTCTCAAAAAAAAAAAAAAAGACAGTTGATGTAAATTTAAATCACAAAGAGGAGCCATGGTGACCCATGCCTGTAGGCCCAGCACTTGGGAGGCTGATGCAGGAGGATAGCATGTGCTGGGCGCGCCTGGGATATAGAATAGGGCTCATATGACATAGCTATATGCCAATATATAGAATTGAAAACATTGCAATTCTATTTAGAAGATGTGAGTCTACTGCCCTGTCATGTTTAAGCATCTTTTTAATTAAAAAATTATTAGTTTATTGAGAATTTTGTATAATAAGTTTTGGGCAAAATGTAGAAAATGCAAACAAATCTGTAACGATGAAAAGCAGGTCATCGGCTGCCTAGAAAATCTGAAGATGAGAAGTATATTCATTCTTTCAATTATGCAATGCTTTCACAGACCCAGAAATGTCTGCTGCTTTTTTCTGTATTATTTGTTATTATTTATTTATTTATTAAAGCTGAGGGAGTTACAGGTGTGGGGACTTGAAGCACTTGAATCATCAATCTGCAATGACAGAAGAGTCTACAGTGGAGAGAAGAGCCCTTAAGGCAGACAGAAAGTGACACTTCCAGGAACAGATGGCCCTTTAAAACAGAGAGCAGCACCGAGTTACAGGGTCTTAGCTCCAGACAGCCAGGAGGAGAGTTGCTCTATTTTTAATTCTGTGATTAACTCCACACCATTTCTGATATCAGGGCACAGTTCTGCCAAGAAAGTGAAAGTTAACCCTGTCCGAGATCTCGGGCTACAACAGCATGGCTCTGGGAAGCTGGTGCGTGCACCTTGCCCTGTAGAGCAAATCCAGGATGAAGCAGTTCTCACAGCAAATGCAGGAGGCCAATGCACTCCCACGGGCACTGAGGAGCTTCCCACAGCAGCCATGATGGCTCTGCCTACACCAGAGCCTAGGTATGTTGAGAGTGAAATGGATTCTTAGAAAAAGGCGGGAGTGGGGTTCTCTAGGCAGGGGCTCTCAATTTGGTATCTCCTTTTAAACAGTTTGAGAGACATTCTGTGTGTTTGTGTTTCTTTGATTGTGTGTACATGAGCATATATGCCTTTAAGGTACACAAAAATTCTTATTTGCATGTACGTGTTTGGGTCTCTATGTTACTATGTATGATGTGCATGTGGGTGCCTGCCAGAGAAGAAGAGGCCATCAGATCCTCTGAGGCTGGAGTATAGGCAGTTGTGGGTTCAGCCAAGGAATCAAACTCCTGTCTTCTGTAAGAACAGCAAGCACTCTTAATCACTGAGCCATCTCTCCAGACCCATACACAAAAATTCTTGTTAAACTGGCTGGGCTGAGTTCTTCTCCATTTATAACACTAGTTTTATGCCACTGACCTGGTTCTCCTGTTAATGGTCTCACTCTGGCCTCAGCTGGTTCCTGATGAGCCTTGGAGAAACATCACCTTCCCATGCCTACCATAATTATGGATGACAAGACAATAGCTCTACAGAGTAGAGAAAAGAACTGTGGCACACCATTAACAGACACACCAACCATCTAGATAGGTCTGCAGCATGGAAGACTGAGTCTCAGCTCCACAGGAAAGAAGAAGCTGTGTTCAAACAGGACCATGTGCAGTGTGAGCAGCCACAGGGAAAGCTCACGACCGTTCTTATTGGGGTCCTAGAACAGTGGTTTCCCTCTCCCCATCCTAGCCGTCAGCCCACACCAGCCCTTGCCAGATGGAGCTTCCTCCTTGACACACAGTTTCATCCCCTATGACCAGCGATTTTCCTCCTGCTGATCATCCTTATGGTTGGAACTGGACACAGTACCCGGACGGCCCTTAAGCAGGGTGCTAGGATGTGTAGCCTAGGGAGCTTCCTGGACCTTCTCTAATGTTTCCAGGGACTCTGGACCTCTTACCTCTGCTCAGGCAGAAGTAGGGATGTATGTGTGTGTGTGTGTGTGTGTGTGTGTGTGTGTGTGTGTGTGTGTACCCATGAATGCAATGTGTAGACCAGAGGTCAATACTAGGTATCTGTCTCTGTCACTCTCCATCTCATTGAGACAGGGTCTTTCACTGAGCACGGACGTTGCCAATTTGGCTAGAGTGCTGGCCAAAGAGCTTCAGGGATCCTCCTGTTTCTGCCTCTCCAGTGTTAGGAATACAGGAATGTGATATCATGACTTTTTTTTTTTTAAACATGGGTGATGGGGATCCAAACTGAGGTTCTCATGTTTGTCCAGCAAGTATTTTACCCGCTAAACCAGCTCTCTAGTCCCCACCCCCCTTTTAAAGACAGGATCTTGCTATTTTGTTCTGATTGGTCTCAAACTAATGACCCTCCTGCCTCAGTCTCCTGAGTGTTGACACTTCTGGCTTTATATATCGTTTTTTCTTTTCTTTTTGAGGCAGGGTCTCATTATGTAGCTCTGGCTGGCCTGGAATTCTCTATGAAGAGTGAACTAGTCTCAGAATCACAGAGATCCATATGCTTCTGCCCATGTGCTGAGAGTAAAGGCATGTGCCACCATGAATAGCTATCTTAATTTTTTTTTTTAGTGTGTGTGCACGTGTGTATGTGTGTGTGTCTGCACACACACATGGCGGAGTGCATGCCTGTGGCGGTTAGGATACCTTTGTGGAGTCAGTCCTCACCCTCCACCTTTACATGGGTTACATCAAACTCATGTCTCCAGGAATGTGTGGTAAACACCTTTTCCCACTGAGCCATCTTGATGGTGCTTCACATATCTTTTATTATAGTATACTGCTAGACTTGTTCACTTTTCTACTAGTGATTGCTAGTAATGTCCTACTGTTTCTGACAAAATTAAGCTATCATACCTAATATGCATAGACAAAAGCACATAACACAGAGTTTGGTACAATAATAGGTGGGGTGTAGAACATATACCCCAAGGATAATGGAGGATGGTACACAGTCCCATAAAGAAAAAGATGCCCCAGAAGGCCTTCTGGCTTTATTCCTTTGACCCTGAGTGTCGCAGAGACATGCTCACGGAGCAAGTCCTCCCACTGTATTCTGGCACAACAAGTTTGGCTACAGAAGCTCCCACTTCTGTTTAAGGGGTTCTTTCTGTGGCTCATGTAATTCACAGCAGCTTCCACTCACTGGACTTCAGACTTTGGAGGCCCAAGGTTCAAAACCTCAGACCTCCCTGGCTGTCCTGGAACTCACCCTGTAGACCAGGCTGGCCTCAACTCAGAGGTCTGCCTGCCTCTGCCTCCTCAGTGCTGGGATTAAAGGCGTGTGCTACCACTGCCCAGCCGTTTTTTTCCAAACAAAACCAGTAACAACAAACAATACTTTAGCAATGACTGCTGTTCTCTGGATGAACATAACGACTCCTCAGAGGACCTGAAATAGTTAATGCCAGAAGTTAATTTAAGATGAAGGCAGTGACTGATAGAACCAGAACAGAGTTGGAGACTTTTTCCCAGGTCTGTTGCTGAACTGTAGGGTGACCTTAACCAAGGGAAAGTCTTGTGGGTTTCTGGTCATTCATTTGGTTGGCCAGTTCATGTGGTTGTACAAAGAAAAACAAGGACACCCAATGCTTGATGGTTGTCTTCTAAAGACAAGAATTGTATACTCAAGGTGGCCTGGGGCTCATTTTTATCTTTAGGTTTGGTAGAAGTGGAGCAAAGATGGGAGAGGACATGCCATCCATTTTCTTGTGTTTTCCCTGGCTGTTGAACAAACTCTCCTGTGCTCTGTTCCAGCCCATACAAGGTTCTAAACATGGCTAGGGAACAGGGTCTACACAAACCTCTGTACCAACCATGACCACACCATCTGCTGCCCAGATCTTCTGTCTTCTAATCCTGGCTCCACAGTGGGTACACAGGCCAAGCACTCTTGACATGACCCAGGCCATTCACCCAAGGATGGCAGGAAGCCACCAGAGGCTAGCAGACCCTAGCAATGGTTCTCTTTAGCTGGTCATGGAGGCTGGTGTTCTCGGTATTTTTAGAATGCACTTGGGTCTTTGCAATAAGACCTCCCAGTGTGTGTGTGTGTGTGTGTGTGTGTGTGTGTGTGTGTGTGTGTGTGTGTTTGTGTGTGTGTGCATGTATGTGTGTGTAAGGCTAGAGGTCAACATCAGGCATCTCTTTCAACTTCTTTCCTCCTTATTTATTGAGATGGGGTCTCTGACTCAACATGGAGCTTGATGATTTGGCTAGACTCTGGGATCCTTCTATCTTTACCACACCTCTACTCCCAGCACTGGGATTACAGGAGTGTGTTGCCTCATTCAATTTTTGTTTTTAAATATATATAGGTGCTGGGGATCAAATTCAGGCCCCTTGTGTTTGCATGGTAAGCACTTTAACTGAGCTATTTCCCCAGCCTCAGAGACCTTTCAATACTCTTCAAGACTGGCTCTGATCTTCAACTTATCCTCCGTCCTCTGCCACTGCCTCCTCCTTCTCTCGTCCCCCTCCCCCCCATGCTCATTCTACAGTCTCTTTGGTGCCAGAGTGAAATCAGATCCTTTGGAATCCCACCGAGTCTTCCTGAAGGCTGTACTTCCTGTCCAGTGTGCTGGGACAGACCTGTCTGCTCAGCATAGTCCCAGCTTCATAAGAGATGCTGGTGGGATGCTGGAAGTGGGGTGTGCCCAAGGAAGTGGGGTGTGTCTTCACCTATGTCAGCCAGGGAGGCACAAAGATACACGGCTCTGCCCCACCCTGCCCACACCCCTCCTTACCACCAAGACGTGTTCCAGAAGGTCCAGGTAGCCCAGGGTGCATTCTGTGCCATACCGCAAGGCTCTAGTTCGTACCTCTTCACTGACATCAGGATAGAAGGATGCTTGCTGGAGACAGATTGGGAAAGGAGCGGGGAGGAGAGAAGAGAATGTTGACATCTTAAACCAAGAAGAGCTGCTTGTGAGTCCCCAGCACAACAGAGCCGGGCACCCTGGTCTCTGAGGCAGAAGCTGTTGCCCAGTGACCTCTGTGAAGACCTTCATCCCCCTTCTCTAGGTGGGAGAGGAATCCCTCCCTCCCATCCCCATGGATTTATAGCAGATCCTTTGACAGTCTACAGGCTGGCTCCCTGGGGACACATGATAGAAACACCGGAGTCTGGGACCTTCTGCCCTTTCTCACCCTCCCTTCGCCATGCATTAAAACATCCAGGAAGATTCACAGTCAAGACTTCCAGGAGAGTACAGACCAGCTCTGCCTGGCTTCCTGTCACTAGCGGCAGAGGCACTGTTATGGCAACTCTATGTCCTCAGACTAATGAAGCCCATGTTCCCACTCAACCTCCCGAGTGACAGTCACAGGGCAATCTCTGTGACCAGAAGTCTTAGGTTCCTTCAGCTCGCAGCTCCCTGGTACCCTCAGGCTCTGTAAATAACTCATCTCACATTATACAAATACAGAGATAAGCAAGCCGGAGCTCTGGGTAACAGTGTCGCAGACTTTTCCTTGTACTGTGACCTGCCACCTCCAGTCATCCATGACAAATCATTTCAGATGGCGTTCTGACTTGCAGGGCTGCCGGATAAAAGGCACCCGGAATTGATAAGCCAGGATAAGTGCAAGTGTGGCACACCATCTTTTATCTGCTACAAAAGGAAACCATATCCCCTTAATTATTCTTCACAGTTTCACTCTGGAAAGAAGGTGGGATGCTTACAGATATGCATAAAAGAAAACTCCCTCTAAACCAATAGTCACGACAGAGGCATACCACAGGGCAGAGCCAGTCTCTATGTGGCTAGCCTGCAATCTCAGCCACTTGGGGAAGCTGAGGATCCCAAGTTTAAGGCCTGCCTGGGCTACAGAGTGAGTTCAAGGCCACAGCCCGGGCAAGTGAGTGAGTTTCTGATTCAAAATAAAAAGTAAAAAGAGGGTTGGGGCTACAACTTGGTGGCAGAGTGCCTGTGTACCACTCATGAGGCCTTAGGTTAAATCTATAGGAACACAGAATCCCAGGGGAAACGGTCAAGGCTTAAGGGGGACTGACCAGCTTGGTTTTACAGTCCATCCCCTCTTTCAGGGGTGAGCAGCGTGGGTGGTAACACCTGTGTACCCTCCCTTGAGGAACATGGTGAGCAGCTGTCACTGAGCAGCCAAGTTAGACTAACCTGAGAACAAAAAAACTTAGCAGGAGAGATCAGGGGTGGGGAGGGGATATGGGTGAGGAGGGTGGCCACAGCCATGCTCTTAAAACTCTCCTATTTCATTATCTCCACGTCTCTCTGAGCCTCCAGATGTGAGTCACAGAGTTGCGCACTGCTGTGGGCGACACGGGCCATGGGGCTGCTATGCGGTGGTCTCACCAGAGCAGGCTACCGAGAAGAGGTGGGGGAAGGACATTCTTGCTAACTGTGGTGGCTCTGTTCTCCCGAAGGTTCTGCCAAGTCACAATCTGGCCATAATGAAAAGGTTATACAATCTGATCCCCTAATTCCACTTCTGGGAGTCTTCCTAAGCAAATAATCCAAAGCGCAGATAAGTCAAATAAGCACGAAGATGTTTCTTAGAGTGAAGTTGTAGGGGAGTCGGCGGTGTGCCTGTCTAACATATAGGACATAAACCAGCTGTGCTGGCATACACCCGGAAGCCTAGAGCTCGGGGTGTAGAGGCAAGAGGATTTTAAGTTCAAGGTCATCTTTAGCTACATAGTGACCAGCCTGGGGCATATGAGACCCTATCTCAAAACCAAAACAAAACAGTAAAGCTCACAATAATAAACACGGTAGGCAACCTGCCTATCTGATAATAGGGGAAGGTAGTATGGCTAACAGAATATCTGTAGTCATAAGCGAATTAGTCAGAATGATCAGAGCAACACAGGAGTAGCTACCTCATGTCAACTCTAACAAGAAATACAGAATTAAATCTAACAAAACGATGTGGAAGCAGAGCACACAGAAACAGACTCGGGTGAAGGCGCCTGGGGACTGGTCAATCCTGCTGGTCTGTTAAGAACAGGCAGTGTGGGACATGCCTCACCTCTATGTTTGCCTGGCTCCCCACTCAGCCCCAGAAACCATACTCCAATAGAGCAACTAGGTTCTTTGACTAGTTAACTTCAAAAATCTTCTGCTTAAAAAAAAAATCCCGTGTGTTGGAGCTGGAGAGACGGCTCAACAGTTAAGAGCACTGGCTGCTCTTCCACAGGACAGGGGTTCAATTCCCAGTACTCACATGGCAGCTCACAACTGTCTAACTCCCAGGGGATTCAACATCCACTCCCGGCCTCAGCGGGCACCAGGCACATATGTAGTGCACAGACATACATTCAGCCACACATACCCATACACAGAAAAAATAATTAATAAGAAAAGACTGTGTGTGTGGCGGTCAAAGGACAACCTTGGGCACCGTTCTTCAGATGCTCTCCACCATCCATCTAACCCCGCCCCCTGAGTGCTGGGGTTACAGGTGTGTGTCACCATTCCTAGGCTCACTTTCGCCAGGGAACCCCAAGGATCTACCTGTCTCTGCCTTCCCAGCGCTGGGATTACAAGCAGTCACCTGGCTTAAAAAATAGCATGACTGCAATGCTCTAGGCGTTTTAAACAGTCATTCAAATCACCTTATCTCAGAGACTACCTCCTCTTAGGTACAGATTCTGTGTCCGGAGGCAGAGACATGTACATCACCGCCATCATGCTCCCTACAAGCCACTTTGGAACCTTGTCTTAGTTGGTGGAGTCCCTTTCCCTACCGCCCACAATGGGGCTGAATGTCCACTGAAACCACCTCAATTGTTCAAGAAACTTCAGTGGCACTGTCATTGGTAGGTTCTGTGACCCCATTTCCTGTGCTTCCTGATGTTCCGTGCTTGCACATGTGGGAGACCTCCCGAGCAGCTGAGGCAGCATGCCACTGATCGGCACCTATACCAGCACCTGCCCCGCTCAATCTCACAGACACCGAAGCACTACATGTCCTTGGCAAAACGGACTTCATAACTGCCAGAGGAATTAAGTGTGAGGGGCTTCTCTTTAACAATGAATAACTAATATATATGATTAGATCTATAAATCATGTCAGTTCACAGGGCAACAACAGGATATCCAAGAGGAGCCCCAGTGAGGGCCCAGTATCGATGGTGTAGCAGAAACCAGAGACCTTGCACCAGACCAATGACTCTTTGCAATGAACACTTGCGAGTGAAGACAATGGACAAAGGGGTAAACTGTGTGACTCATTGTGTCACACTGCAGCTTCCACGATGAGATTTTTCTTTTTCTTCTTTTGAAATTTTCTCTTAGATTTTTTTTTTAAATTTTATTTTGGGGGGAGGGTACAAAGGCAGAGGGTGGATATGAACGGACAGGGTATGAATGGGATTGAAATGCATGATGTGAAAGACACAAAGACTAAATAAAAAGAAAGTTAAAAATAAGTGGATAAATCACGTCAGTGTACATTTGCTTTCTAGGCTTTAGAAACTGCTTGTGTGAGTTCTGGTGAGGAAACTCAGGCTTCCACGGGTGCAAAGCAAGCGCTTCGTTCCTTGAGTCTGCTCCCCATCCCAGAGACGTTTTTCTTGACCCACCATTCAGCACTTGGTTTTCTGTATTTGCCTTATGGCACGAAGCCCCTTTTCTGGAAGGGGGTGAGGGATACAACTGCCCCCAAAGGAACTGTCCAGCATCGCCGCCATCATCTTATTATTCGTATACTTTTTTTGGTAGTGTGTATGGGTGATCTGCCTGCATGTATGTCTGTGTACCACATGCATACAGTGCCTATGGAGGCCAGGAGAGGGCAGCTGATCTTCTCGGAGCTACAGATGGTTTTGAGCTGCCATATGGGTACTAGGAATGGACCTGGGTTCTCTAGAAAAGCAACAAGTGCTGTTAACCTCTGGGCCCTCATCTCTCCTGGCCCTAATGTTTGTTTTTTTGAGGCAGGGTCTTGCTATGTAGCCTAGACCTGCTTCTAACTCACAACAATTCTCCTGCCTCCTCCTCCAGGCACTAGGATTATAGGTGAGCTATGAGCTACCATGCCACCTATAAACTATACTATATGTTTGTCTATCATAAAGTTTAAGGTGTGAAGCTGCTCCCTGCTCATATTCCAGCTTACTGCCTTCTCCAGGACACTGAATGAATCAATCTCAACAGAAAACTATCTGTCCATCCATCCACAACAATGCCCAAGCCTTTACCTTGCAAGCTGTCAACATATCTGAGACAGCCTTCCTGCTCAGATTGGCGGTTGCAATCACGTCCTCCTGTCTACATGAATTCCCAGCTGCCACGGCTTTGGCTGTTGCCATGGTGATGCCTTTCGTCATTCTTATTGATTCTTCGGGTGATGATGTCTTCTCAGGTATGTCTTTTGACTGGAATACCTTGAAGTCAGAAACAGAAGAGGCAAAAAAAATCAAAAAGCAAAGGACAAAAATAACTTCCTCTTTTCCACCTGGGCTGCAGTTAGTGTCTGGGAACCAAGCTAGCAATTGGAAGAGACTGTGACATGACAGGAAATTAGAAACCTAATTTGAGGGCAGTAGAGTGGGTCTTGCTTTCAAGATCCTAGGATGGGCAAGCCTCTTACAGTCACATTTGATGTTCATGGAAACAGTATGGTGAGCCATAGGTTTCTAAAGTGCTAACTCATCCGTTTGCAAACACCACCACCTGATATCTATATATATTGTCTTCCTCAGTCCTGTGTGCACTCGAGGGCAGGATTAACATGAAGACATCACTTTGGATGACCTCCTGCCCACTTTGCATAGGTAAGAGTTTGGGGAAAGTGAAGCATCTGGTTCTCTAATTCTGTTTTACAAATACAGCTGCAGGGTTATGCAGAGATGTTCAAGTCAGTGACTATGATTTAAACATACACACACACACACACACACACACACACACACACACACACTTACAGAAGCTGCAAAGAATCCATGTTAGTCAAGGCAAGCTGCTTCTGCTCCACACACACCTGGTCCTTTCTCTGTAATATGAAGGACTAGCCCTGTGACTGTATGCTGCATGTGTATCTGTCCCTGCAGAACAGGGGCTGGCCTGTTGTCAGACCTAAATAACCACTTAATGTCATGGGAGACTCCCCTGAGTAAGATGGGGGACCCACAGAGCGTTCTTGACATGTGACAACCAGTCAAACATCATCTCTCCTTAAAAACGGCAGTGACAATGAAAGTAACTTAGGACTGTAAGTCCCTTGTCTGGACCTGAGCACTACAGTGGGCTGATGGGTCTACAGAGAGCGAGCCAAACTACTGTGGTCTTCATGGCATAGGCCTGTGGAAAACACTCTGGGGGAATTCATTCATCTTCCTTCCTTCTTTCCTTCCTTCCTTCCTTCCTTCCTTCCTTCCTTCCTTCCTTCCTTCCTCCCTCCCTCCCTCCCTCCCTCCCTCCCTCCCTCCCTCTTTCTTTTTCCATTTTTCACTTGTGTGTGTGTGTGGGGGGGGGGTGCATGTTTGTGTGTATGCGCGTTCTTGCCTGTGTGTGGGCACATATGTACATGTGTATGTATAGGCCTGAGGTTAATGTCAGGAATCATCATCATCCACTCTTCCATTGTAATCATTGAGGCAGGGTCTCTCAATCAAACCCAGAGCTCACTGATACGGTTAGTCTTGCTAGTTTGCTTGCTCTGGGGATGCCCTTTATCGACTTTTCAAGACCGGAACTGCAGATGGCCCCTAACAGCGAACCTCAAGCTGCCATTCCACATGTGGGCTGTGGCCAACAGCAGCATGACAAGAAAGAATGCATCTCTGGTCCCCATAATCTAAAGACAAGGCTTGCGCAAACTGCCATTCTGACTTTTCTCTTGGCCAGAAATCTTCGGTAATGCTCCAGGGTCATGCTGTTATTTTGATGGAATAAAGCCTGGACTGTCCTAAGTGCTACATATCAATCCTAGGGATGGATGTAGGGCTACATCCTGGCTAGGGATACAGATCAGTCGGTAGAGTGTTTGCCCGGCACCCATCAGGCCCTGAATCCAGTCCTCAGCACCTTCCTAAAGCCAAGCATGGTGGTATACACCTGTAATTAAAGGCAGGAGGCTCAGAAGTTCAAGTTATCCTTGGCTACATCAAAGTCTGAGGCCATCCTAGACGACGTGAGATCTTGTCTCACAAACACTCCCCACAGATCCTAGCCACACTCGCTGACGTGCAGCTAAGCAACTACAAAGGCCACCTGAGAAGACAGGTGAGGAAGCCTCCCCAGTCGAGGAGTTCTGCGTAAAAGCTCTTTAAATTGAAAATCGCAGAGGAGCTCACGTGCCAGTCCTGTGACAGCGGCCGGGCACTCACCGTGAGTTCCTGCTTTATGTACTCGATGGTAGCCTCGAGCGCCCTTGTGCCCCGGGTGGCCTCATCTTCCACTGCCTTCACTGTCTTCAGAAGAGAGGTGACGTTGGTCACCATCACCTGCACAGGAAGAGAAAAGCACTGAGCACGCTGTCTGAGGTGCAGTTTCGGACCCTTTCGTGCAAACGGCATAAAAGATAATCGCCTTCCTTCCTATGAGGAAGACGATCAAATGTTCACCCTTCCAACAGCTTGGCATACGAGTCCCCACATCCTCATATCCCTGCAGGCTCAGCCCCAGCTGGAGTCCCACTCTACCTTGGCGGCTCCTTTGAGCTGGTACATGGAGGGGTCATCGGCTGGCTTGCTGGCAGCTCCCTTGGTAGCACCAATGAGATCAGAAAGGGCCTTGGCCACGTCTTTGATGGCATTTATCAGGACCACCTGAAAGAGCAGGAGGCTGGTGAGTAGAGAGGATGACCCTCAGTGCTGACTTCTGCCAGGGCGCAAGGACATGGGAAGGAGGCGCCCTTTATCAGTAAGTAGCTTTATGTCCTGCACCATGACACCACCACTCAGGAAGCCACCCTTGGAGCTCAGGAGGCCAATCATGCTGCTGCTGCTGCTGCTGTTGCTAATGATGATGACAGAGCTAATAGAGAGGCGGTTCCCAAGGCTGCTGCCGAGACTCATGTTAAGGCCGAGGTTGAGAACTAAAGTGGAGATGGATGCTGATGTTGAGGCTGGTTTCTGAGTACACAGTCCCCCAGCTGCCCCATTCTGCCAACAACCTGTTTCTGACTGGATAAAGGCTGCTCGAGCAGAGATACCATCAGCGAGCTACCATCACTTACCCCCCAAAGCACTGACAACACAATGTCAGCTTCATGCTAGCGCAGTAAGGCCTCCATGACACTCTGCCTGCCTCTCTAGCTTTGGTTCCTGCAATTCTCTGCCCCACACCACGTGTTCGGACACGTGGGTTTTCTTCCTATCGGGAAGTCTCACCTCGTCTCTGCCTAAGGTCTTCACTCCTGTTCTCCTCTACCTGGAACCTGGCTCTTTCTATCCTCTGGGTTCAGCTTGAATGAATGTCCCAAAAGACCTATCTTGACCACCCTAGCAATGGGTCTAACTCCCGAATACCAAACTGCTATCAGATGGCCGTGCTTCATACTACAGAAGTAGTAGTCCATGGCGCCATTTAATAATTCATTCACTTGTCCATGTCTTATCTTCTCCCATGACCTGATGAGGTTAGAACAGGCACTATTTGGTTTCATCCTCAGAACTTGTGCTGGCACACAGCTGGCACTCAGTGACTCTTGAGGGAACAAAGGAAGACAGAGGTGGCCTGCTCCATCCCGGAGATGGTACTGTCTCGAATGCGGAGTTGGAATCTGAAGCACAGCCAAAGGGAGAACTGACAGGAATTGGCGCTAGAGCCAAGAGCGGTGGGTTTGGAATGTGGACTCTGGTCAGTACGATGCTAGGCACCCCAGTCTTAACCTTCACACTCCCGGGTTGGCTCATCTACCAGCAGAATTAGCAGTGTCAGCCTTGCCCACTTCATCCAGTTGCTGTGAGGACCAACCAGGATAATAAACATAAAAGCCTTTGGGAGACTCCGGAACTCCAGACAGCCGTGACATAAGAAAAACTGTGACTTTGCAGCCTCCTGCCACCCTCCATACCCTTTGTGGTGTCGCCTCAACAGGACAGAGGGACCCCAGCCAACCTCCTGTACCCACAGCTGGGGCCAGCCGGGCTTTCGAAGGCCTGACGCTCTCTCCTGAGCCTGTAACAGCGAAGGGGTGCAGCAGGAGAGAGGCACAGCAAGCCAGGGCTGCTGCTAACATCAGCATCCGGGAAGGACGGCCCCATCCTGCTTACTCCACAGGTGACTGACATGCAGAGGGAACATTTTTTTCCCCTGAGTAGATTTGAAAAAAAAATAATTTATTAAAAATTTTATTTATTATTATTAGTGTGTATGCCACCGTGTACATATGGCAGTCCGAGTACAACATTATGGAGTTGTTTTCTTCTCCCACCTTTCTGTGGATTCCGGGAGTCAAATTCAGGTTGCCCAGCCTGTGAAGCAGGTGGTTTATCTGCTGAGCCATCTCACTGACCCCCCGATTTATTAGTTTTTTAAGTGAGTTCTCATTAGACGTTGCTGCAGTTAAAAACACTTGCTGCTCTCCTGGAGGACCCAAGTTCTGTCCCCAGAACCCACATGAAGTAGTTTATAACTGCCTCTAACTCCAGTTCCAGGGGCCAGGATGCCTCTGGCCTCCTTGGGTACCTGTACTCATGTACACATATCCAGATTCTGACACACCCACCCACACATAATTAAAAAAAAACAAGACAAAAAACAAAAAACCCTCAACCTTCTAAATATCTTGAAAACAGATATTTGGTTTATTTTTATTTACTTAAATAAAATTAATTTTAAAATCTGCTTAGAAAAATGTCCCCTCTGTGTGTTAGTCAGCTGTCCAGTAACCAGGACAGGAGAGGCCTTTATTAGCACCCCTACAACAATATCTAGAAAAAAAATTATTTTAAAAAATGGGAAAAGTACCCAAACAGACATTTCTCCAAAGAAGATACATAAATAACCATTGGATCTATGAAGAGATGCTCAATGTCAATAACTTTTAGAGAAACTCAGACCACCTCCCACCTGTTAGGAAGGCTGTTATCAAGGTGAGGGGGACAGGTATTGGTGAGGGGGTGGAGAAATAAGAATTCTGACACACTATGGCAGGAATGCAGAATGGTGTAGCTGCCCCACTCCCAGATTAAAAATAGAACCTTCTGGTAAGCCTTTTCCTAGGGGTTTATTAAAAAAAATTTAGGTGAGCCAGGTAGTGGTGGCACAAGCCTTTAATCCCAGCACTTGGGAGGCAGAGGCAGGCAGATCTCTGAGTTTGAGGCCAGCCTGGTCTACAGAGCAAGATCCAGGACAGGCTCCAAAACTACACAGAGAAACCCTGTCTGGAAAAATCAAAAGAGAGAGAGAAAAAAAAAAAAGAATTTAAGGAGAAATCAGCACTCCCGGGTTCACTGCCGCATCATCCACAGCAGTCAGGATGGGAGTGAAACCCACATGCCTGTCAACAGACAGTTAGAGAAAGGAAATGCAGATCCACACGGTGGATTATTAATTGGCTTTTAAAAAGGGAATTCTGCACTATGCAACATGCACGGACCTGGGGGGTTGTGCATTTCAAGGGAGGAAGTCAGTCACAGAAGGAGAAGCAGTCACCCTCATAAAACAATCATCCTCATAAGCCAAACAGAATGGGGTTCGGGGGACAGGGGAGGGGCAGGGAAGAGCTCCAGCTGAGCCGGGTGAATAAGCTCTAGAGACCTGCTGTCCCCACGGCACCTATAGCTAAGGACCACTGCATGGCAGTTAAAGGTCTGCAGAGGCAGACTGGGCATGCCAAGGGCTCTCACCCAGGAAATGCCAATAAGAGCTGAGAAAGAGGTTGCTCAGAAGGGGAAGGCAGAGGAAACACTAGAAGCCACTGAAGATTCAAGGTGTCTGTAAAAACTCACTGTGTGATTCTCTACTTTATGTGCCTAATACAACTGGTTGAGATAAAATGTTTTTAAACACATGGAAAAAAAATTCCCACAGTAATTCAATTCATTTCTCTGTGTGGAAAAGATCCATACTTTTTCTCCTCCAAATCAGCTGGGTAAGAAGAGTGCGCGGGGGTGGGGTGGGGGGGGTGGGGGGGTGGGGGGGATTGCACTTCCAACTCCAGGGACAGGGATTCCAGCCTTTCCTTCCTTCCTTCCTTCCTTCCCCCCAGGGTGGGACCACCACCTCGGGTTCCTGCAGAAGCCTTGTGCAAACAGCATTATCTGAAGTCCAATGCTGGTGGAAGAAACCAGGCTGGGGGATAAAAAAAAAAAACTAAGAAAGGCCCTCACGGGGCTCCATTGTCTTGGAGGACTGTGGAAACGGAAGGGGCGGGGTACACAGAAAAGGCTGGTGGCCCCCAGTTAAGTAGTTCAGTCATCACTGCTCTCCCCCTGGCCTGAAGGGCAAGAGTTTTCTAGCGTGGGGCCCAGTAGACTAGACTGCTGAACCAGAGCAGGCGGCGGCGGCCATGAAAGTGTTTACTGTTCTGTTGCTGGGACGCGTGCAGAGGAGAGTGAGCTGTGCTACTGAGGACTCCGGTTGGCTGTCAGTTCAAGACCATCAGAACATCTGGCACGAGCCAGGTGCTGCTATACAGGGCGTGCTGGCTTCAAACATGAAAGGCTGCAGTGACTGTGGTCTGGACAGGCCATGAAGGCTCAGGTGGGTCACTTCAACAAGATCGCCACCTCCTGAGTGGAGGGCCCTCCCACGCTTCCAGTCCCAGCCTCTGCTTCAGAGCCAGCCTTCTCCAGCAGTAAGCTGCATGTGCTCCATACCCAATGCCAGCAGCTGGGGTCAGCAATGGCCTGTCCCCAGACATTCACCTGTCTTGACTCCCAGTGTCTCTATAGGTGAAAACATTCCTTTCTTGCAGGTCACACCCCCCCTCTGGCTGTCCCCCACTAGCTCTGGCCTCTCTTGAAGTTTTCCAGGTGTTTTTTTTTTTTTTTTTCTCAGCAAGTGCCTGAAGGTTGGAGTTCTCCAGGGTTAATCTGACATCCCTTCTCTCATCCCATGCTTTCCCTGCCCTGTGCCTGCAGACACTGTCCAGAGGCAGCCATACCCGAGTCACACCTGTGCACAGGGGCACGCTCATGCCCTCATTGGTTCTACCTGCTTGTCTCACACTTGTAATTCAACATGCCTTAGACTGGGACTCCCCCTCCTCGAGTCAGGATGGCTCTCCCCTCATGGATGACTCGCTCTCTTGCTTCATGAAACTGTGTACTGCTCCAGCCTGACCACAGGACACTTGGTACTCTTCGCTTCCCTTTATCCTCACACTGTCTTCTTCAACCAATTGTTCACCAGGCCTGGCTGACTTATTTTTCGAGGTTCCTCCCAAATCCATAGGCTTGTCTTAACCCCTGAACCGTCACCATAGTCCACGTGTCTGTCAACTGCTTCCTATCAGCTTCTCCAAACAACTATGAGCACGTATTGTTTACTTCAAAGGCTACTTGCTTAACCTCTCCCCCAGGTCCCCCCCAGTTCTGAAGCCCGATGCAGGGTGTATAGGAAAAAGAGAAAGGCAGTCCCCAGGCCCCGTCCATACCTGGGTCTCAGGGTCATTGGAACCCAGGCTGGCAGCCCCCAGCTTGACCACCTCGGCAAGCTGGGTGATGGTCGCTGCCGAGGACTGAGCTGCCTGGGCCAGCTTGTCTGGAGTGGAGGCGGCCCCTGACACCAGCAGCTTCGTGTCTTCCACCAAGGCCTTGGCTGTCTTCAGAATGTTCTCCCTGAGAAAGCAGGGAGGTCAGAGAGACGGGAAGAACACAACAAAACTTGTTCACTTGCAGTTGTTGTAGAGGAAGGAAATTCACAGGGGCTTTGGGAAGAGAGGCCCCAGTGATCCACCCCCGTCTCGAGGGGAGGGGAGTCTTCCAAGCATGTGGGGCTGGAGCCTCAAGCAGTATGTAGCCAGACTGGGAGCGCAACTCCAGAGAAGAGCCCAGCACTGTAGCTAGGTGGGAGCTCAGCTTCTTCCTATGGCCCCACAAGCTCTTCAGGTATTTCCCAGCCACACAAGGGTGCATGGCTTGTACATTGTGCTTGCGGATCGGAGCCCACGGGGCCAGGCTCCAGACAGACAGCAGAGCACAGAGAATCTTCACTCCATCACTCAGGTTGGAGAGACAAGAAAGAGGCTGGACACATGGTAAGGGTTTAGGGGTCATCAGCAGTAAATACGCAGAGCCGCGGACACAGGTCTGCTGAATGAAGGCTCCGAGGAGGCAGGAGGCTTTGGAAAGTGACTGCTAACTATGCCTGCCCCTGCCTCTCCTGTCCTGCTGGGTCTGTGGGCAGTCAGAGGGGCAACTCCCTGGTGAGCAAACATGGAAAAGCTGGCCTCTGTTGGGGAAGGCAGTTTCCAACTTGTCAATGGAGTTTATCCTGACCCTGTGGTTCACATCCCCCACTGGGAATCTTGTTGATATCAAAGTGGATAATGACATTTCTGAGTCCTGGGCAGGACGGGGTGAGCAAATGTGATGGCCGGTTTTAGGTATGCCCGCCGGGGTCTCCCCCAGTACCTGTGATCTGCAAAGGTCTCGCCATTCTCTGCATTCAGCGTCCCTGCCGTCGCGAACATGATGGTGGTATCCAGGTCGGCGATGATCCCAGACACAGCAGTCGCAGCCGTGATGCAGGCTTGGGTCCCCTTGTTCCCGGCCTGGAGAGCGGACAGCACCAAGGACACCTGTACAGTAGAAAGGTCATGTAAAGGGGAGCCCGGGAATGGAGAAAGTAAGACTAAAAAAGTGCGCCACCATTGAAAAGACTGAATTCTCTCAGAGCTGCTGCAGCACAGAGGTTAACAGCCCGAGCTTAGAGCCAGGAGCCTGGGTCTGAATACCAGCTCCACCATTCACAGGCCACCTGACCTTAGGCAGTCTACTTCAATGCACCAAGCCTCAGCTTCCTTGAACGTAAAACGGTTAATTAAAACATAACATGTGCAAAGTGCAAACCAATGAGGTGTTTGTAGGTCGCTACTATTTCCTGGAGGGCAGTGCTCACCAAGTCAAGTCACCAAGTACGATGTTTCTGACACCATACTGAGGGATCAGGTTTAGGCTCCTGAGACGTGGGTGGCAATTTCCACCCCTCCAGTTAGGTCTGGAAGGAATGACTACTGTTAATACTCATCATTCACCTGGCCATTCAGGACAGGCCACTTTCCAGAGTGGATTTCAGAGTAGGACTCCTGCATGCCACTGTCCACTGCTAAGTACTTATGCAATGACCGGAGGGTCCAGCAAGTTGGCTAAGGGCTTCACCTTGGCCCACTCCATATCAGAAACCCCAGGTGCCAGCTTCTACTCTCATCCCTTCCTGTTCCCAGAGACACTTTCTACAACCACAGCCTGATTGCCCCACAGGTTCACAATCACACCGTGCGTCCACTGGACCACCATTTGTCAAGTCTGCCAGCTACTAAGGTCCCCACACAGCTGCCTTCCTGCTCAGGGTGAGTGCTCTGTCTTGCTTTCTTCCCTCAGCACTGATGTGCTCATCCTGTGAGATATAGCTCCAGGACCCCCCTAGGATGCCTCTCTAGTCTCTTTGCAGAGAGGCAGTTCTGCCCAAGGATTCCAAGTACACTATTCTGTCCTCAGGGCCGCCCACTGTCCTATAGATTAGAAACAGTTTGTCACAGGGCAGCTGAAAGCTCTTTAATCTCTGCCTGTACACACCTGCTATTCTTGACCACGCTGACGCACGCAAATGCTTTGTAAATGCACTTATGTATGCACCATGTGTGGGTGAGGGGGAGTAGGGGTGAGGGCAGGGATCAAACCCTAGATGTCCTCTTCAGTTGCTCACCAAACTGTACTTTTTTTCTACCCCCAGGTGGTGGTGGTAGGGTGGGACAGATGAGGCGGGACAGTATCTCATTGAAAGCTGACAGATTCTGCTAGAGCTGTTGGCTAGTGAGTCCCAGGGCTCTGCTTGTCCCTGCCTCATCAGTGCTGGGATTATAAGGCAAATTCACTTCTTGAAGCATGTTGAACAAGCAGGGGAGTCAAGGCATGACTAGAGGCATGGAGTTTGGGATGTTCTTTCTTGTGCCCATCAGGTCTCAGGAGACTTGTGGGTATAGTTTGGCAGGATGGACACAGGGACCATTTTCTCCAATAGAGGCCTACAAAGAACTGTTTATTTCTCCTGGGATGGTTGGTTTTGATTGCCAACTTGCTACAACCTAGACTCACCTGAGAAGAGTCTCAATGTGGGACTATCTTGAGATCAGGTTGGCTCGTGGGCCTATTGTGAGGGATTTCTTCCTATTTTATTATATTTTATTTGTACCCTAAGAGGCCAGAAGAGGATGTCATAACCCCTGGGACTGGAGTTACAGATAGTTGTGAGCCACCATGTGGGAACTGGGAATCAAATCCAGATCCTCTGTAAGAGTAACTGGTGCTCTTGACCACTGAGCCAACACTCCTGCTGTGGATTTTTCCGTAACAGGGTTAATTGAGGTGAGCCCACTGTGGGTGGTACCATTCCTGGTTTGGGGCCCTGGACTGTATCAAGAGTAGAGAAAGCGAGGTGAGCACGAAGCATGCAGGCATTCAATTCTCTCTGTTCTTAACTGTGGATGCGATGTGACTAACTGTCCTAAGTTCTTGTTGCTGTGATTACCCCACCAATGGATTGTAACCTGGAGTTGTGAGCTAAAATACACCCTTCTCTCCCCTAGGTTGCTTTTTGTCAGGGTACGTTATCACAGCAACAAATGCAGCTAGGACACCTCCTCATTGTCTGACGCTTCCTTAAATGTCACTAGGTCTCACCAGGAAAAGACGAGTCAGAACAACACAGAGCTGGTCTGGGAATGACGTCAACAGTTTCTGGAAAGAACTCTTAGGATGGGCGGCAAAGGCCTGGAGGTTATGAGGTGTCTTGAGTGTGTGTGTAAGAGAGATTCTCAACCAGGATGAAAGAAGAGCCCAGAAACAGTCCCACCCACTGTGGAAGTGTACAAAAAATAGGTATTTACTGAGCATCTACTAGCCACTAGGTCTGACACAAAGGTAGACAACGGGCTCATGGATGGGAGACACCCTACTTACACCCCAAGATATGCAGAAACAACAAGATACACAGGTAGGGTGACCTGCAGCAAGAAATAGCCAAAAAGCTAGTGGCTAGGAACTGGCCACCTCCGCACCTCTGTCCTTCTCTACATGTCCCAAGTTGGGCCACTCTGCTGTGAGAGGCTGCAAGACCAAAGCCAGCTCAGGACGATTCTGCATGCAGCTTGGGTGCCTGGGGAACTACGCGGCAAGGCCTTTGAAGGTGCCTTCCTCCAGCTGAGAGATTTCATTCTTACTGGAGCGCCCAGTAGCTGGCCAGTCCTGTGGGCTGGGGGAGGTTGCCAGATGGAGGCTCAGCCTGGTCCAGGGCTGACTGACAGAGCAGCCTCTGTAAGCAGCTTCCCATGGAGCACTTCCTCTGCCCAGTCCTCCAGCCTTGTGGCCAAGTTTCTGAACAATACGGAGCTCTATGCGCACAGAAGTGAAGAGGAACTGCAGAGCATGGATGCTCCAGCCTGCCGCAGCTGCAACAGTTGCCACAGAAGCACTCTGATACAGAAACAAAGCCCGGGGCTGGCACACCCGGAGGATAAAAGAGCTACTGGGCACAAAGGGTGGATCTAATGGAGCCTTGTCAGCTAGGGAGACGTCATGGGAGAAAAAGGATTTTTGAGGAAAGCATACAGAGGCTAGGGGCTAGGGTTTGTTAAATGTTAACTACATACCTTGCACAGTACCCAGCACTTTTATACACCTGGATTCTGTGAGTCAGAGATCACACATGTGTGTGCTCATCTGATGGATGAGGTAACTGGGGCTTCGACAGGTGATGTAACGGATAAACTCTTCAAGCCTGGCTCGCTGCACCCCGGACCACCGTCTTTCGGAACAGCAGCCCTGAGGCTTAGGAGCCCAGGGCAGGTACACGGTACATCAGGTGACTGTCTAAAGTCACTGAGACTATTCAGCTTCATGGTATATAAATGAAGAGGTCACATAGCAAGCAGATTGCAGTCTTGTTTGTGTGTTTTTGCCTCTGGAGACAGGGTCTCACTATATAGCCCAGGCTGGCTCTCTGGCCTCAGCCTCCCCTGTGCTGGGATTTCAGCTGCACCAGTCTACCTAGCTCTTTCAGTTTTTCTGTCCTAGCTCTAGCACTTAGAAACTCTTTGGAAAGGGAGACCAACTGTTACGGGCTGGGCTGTGCCATCAGCCTTCCCCTGGCTCGCTCCCCATGCTGATTTTGGTAGGGCCATCTGTAGGGAGTTCCTGATTTTCCCAGGGCTGCCTCTGTTTTGCCCTGAACTTCTCAGGTTCTGTGACAGCACCTTCACTGGGGAGGATCTGGGTGGTGAGGGAGACAGCTGCCTTAGCTGGATGAACTTTGGTTTCGTCCCCACCAGAGCTGGTCCCATTAAATGCCAGTGCTCCGCACAATGGCTATATCCATCTTACCCAGAGGGGACCCCTTACCTTCTCAGTGACGGAACGGGCACACTCGATCAGCTCCCTCTTGGTGTAGCTGTCTGTGGGGCACACCTGGAGGGCCCCCGCCTTCTGCACCAGGAAGATACAGCCATGACCCAGGTCCTGCACACGTGTGCGAATCTGGAATCCGATCTACAGAGGCAAAGCCAGAAGGGGGAAGGAGTGTGAGGGACCCTGCCATCAAGGCCTGCCCTAGGTGGAAAATTTCTCGTGTGCCCTCTGGGAGCCTGGCTAGGAAAATTCCATTCTATTTGGAACCGCTCTCTAGTGAAATACGGAACTTAGTTGATTTACCTTCCTGTGAAACGACTGTAAAAATGCCCACGGCCTCCATTAAGCAAGCCTGGAGCTCATGGGGATAGTATAATGTCTTCCTGGTGTGTGTTTATCTTTTCTGAGGGTCTAGCTTATCTGGATCCCAAGCTACCTGAGAGAATATACCTGAGGAATAGATGTTCCTCAGCTTGAACTCTGTGGGATAACTGTGTTATTCATTTAACAAGCATTTTGAGTACACCAAGGCTTTTTCTATATATTTCATGAGTTCAAAGTACACCTTTGTCATTAAGCGTAATTAAAGGGTCAGATTTTCATAAAACTGGTATATTTACCAAACAGAACATCCCTTCCTGAGCTGTATTCATGGCGAAAGCAATCACATAGAACCCAGGCTTCCTGTGTCCTGAGTTGGGTTTGACTTTCCCTTTTATCTCTAAAGGCTCAGCAGACATACATTTCTACTTTATTTATTTGCTTGATTAAAATAAATTAAGGCAGGATCTCTTATAATCCAGGTTAGCCTGGAACTGACTGGAACTGAGAATAAGTTTGAACTTCTGATCCTCCTGCCTCCACATCTCAAGTGCTGGGACTATAGACATGTGCTATACCAAATGCAGTCTTTGTGGTGCTGGGGTAGAACCCAGGGCCTCATACACGTTAGATTAGCACTGTACCAACAGAGCTACAGCCCCAGTCTGGGCATGCATTTTATTAAGGATGTTGGACTACACAATTAGAAGAGGGTAATAGTTTGCCTAAGAGAAGCCTAATAAACTTCACTATAGCCAAGCTGCTAGCTGTCTCCTTCAAGCAGTACTAAATTCCCCCTCCACCTTCCCAAAGCATGCATTCCTCTGGTTCTGTTCTGTATCAGTTTTCACTTTGAGTTTGATAAATACAGCCACAAACGAACTGCCTTCCAGGCCAGGTAAGCAACTAAAAAGAAGAGCAAAAACTTCAAGCATGAGTCAGTGTTAGTGTCAAGAATCAACAATAGCTACAAGCCAGGGCATCTATCAAGAATGCTTACCAAAAGGTCTCAGGTACTGTAAATAATTCTGGGGAGATTCCAGCCCAGGGGACACCATCTCCTGCTTTTATCTCATTAGTCACAGGTTAGGGCAGAGTGACTCTGAAGAGTGGGAAGGACTGTAATGCTTGCTTTCCTACTTTGGAACTACTGACTGCTTTGGGGAGGGAAAGGGCCACAGGACTTTGAAAGCCACTTAGCATAAAGTTCATCAGATGCAGAAGGGTGCGCGTCTGCTTTCCAGGTGTCTTCTAGTGTGAGCACCGGGCCCTGCAGAGGCTCTCCACAATTCAGGCTGTCCTGCTGACCCTCTCTGGAATATACAGTAGGAAAGGTAGCCTGGGAGTCCACGGCATGCCAGCTCTATACATGTCTGGACTGATGCAGCCACGACATACCACCGAGCGGGGGAAAGGTGTGTGCTGACAGTGGGGATGCCATTCAAATATTCATTGTCTAAGATAAGAGTCAAGCCATGTGGCCCAGGCTGTCCGGGAACTCTGGATTCCTGTGCTCCAGCCGCCCAAGTGCTGAGATAATCAGACAGATCTATTTTCAAGATATGTTGGCAGTTTACACATGACGTCAAGGTGAAGCCAGGGGATGTGACATTAGTTTCAAAGTCAACTTCATCTTTAAAAGCTTCCACGAAGTTTAACACCGTGTATCCAAGGGTCTGCAGTAAATTAAAGGTGGGAGCTCTTACATGAAGGATGACCACAGATCCCCAATGACAGGGGACTGCAGGTGACACCAGGGGAGAAGGGAACCGTGGAAACAGCACCCAGAGAATTTTAAAATAAAAAGTTAAAAACCCTCTAAGTTTTTAAGAGTGGTTTTAATAAGAACAGAATTTTGTTAAACTCTCTGAGCTTCAGTTTAGTTATCTCTGAAATGGAGAGCAGATGAGGCTAGGCTCACACACTTCGTTGAAGTTAAACGCACAGGACCCACCACGGCACCTGGCCTTGGCACTCCTCACTCTCACTGCTTTCCAGGTTACTGTGAGATGGTGGACTGCGTAAATACAAGAGGACCACAGAATCAACACAGTCTACTGGCAATTTCACTGGAAATTTTTATGGCTGGAGGAGCTTCCTAGAAAGGGAACACACTTTTTAAGATTGTGTTTCAACTGATAAGCACTAAGAATTGCCCAGTTCCCAAAGCAACATTAAATTTCTCAGCAAGTCTGGCCCAACTTTGCAAGACCCACAGGGTGGATTGAATGTACGACCAGTGTTTAGTATAAAGGAATGCTGCTCAAAGACACACAGCTTGGGGTTTTTAACTGGCAACGTTAGGAAAGCATTACTTGAGCCTCAAGAAAAACCCTCAATTCCCTTCTTGCTCAAAGAAAAATATTGTGGAGAAAAACCATCTGCTTTTGTGCTTTAAAGGAAATTGGAAAAAAAAAAAAAAAAAAAAGCCCCGCCTCGGTAGAGTCTAGATCTGATTACAATGGGGATGGCGAAGAGTTGTCTAGGAAAAACGGGTCATTCTCCCTTTACTGCTCAAGACAAAACAGAATGAGATGACTTTCCGCAGACTTTAAAAGCAACTAGGTCCAGAATTGCTTGCCTGGAGAGTTAGACAAGGGTGGCTTCGGAACTTGTGGGATCAACTTAGAAAAGGTAACAGGAGAAACAGCGTGAACAGAACCAGGCATCACTTTCTCCCCACCATATAGCAAGTTTTAGGTGGAATTTTTTTTTTTTAAATGCTAGAGTGTACATCCATCCCACCTGGGGTGCAGGCATGTTTCCTGGCCAGCCACTTTACAAATCCTTTCCCTGGCTTACAAAGTGGTGAGGTGATTTTCTCCAGAGACAGAGCTACAGTCACTAAATCTTTTCCCCAGGACTTATATTTAGGAGCTGTAGCTCCTAGGATCTCAATCCCTCCCTCCCTCCCTCTCTCCATCCTCCCTTCCCTCCTCCCCATTTTCAGCCCCTCTGCTCTCTGTATGTGTATGCGGGTGCATGGCCCCATGTATGCACATGTAGAGGCCACAGGTCAATGTCAGGTATCTTCCTCAATTCTCTCAACCTATTCTTTGAGACAGGGTCTCTTGCTGGACTTGGAACTCTATGATTTGACTAAGACTTGCTGACCAGTGAGCCTTGGCACTACGCCTCTAACTTCCCAGCACTAAGATTAGAGGCATGTGCAGCTAGGACCAGCTTTTCACAGGGGTGCTGGGGATCTGAACTCAGGGCCTCATGCTTGCAGATGACTGAGCCATCTCCCTGCCCTCTCTGTTCTCTGTATTCAGGGAGGACCGAATCTTAAGTTGCAAAGCTGTCAGAGGGGTTTTCACATTTCTGAAGACTTTCCACAGCGCTAGTAACAAAGCCTTGAGCTTTCCATGGAAAAATAAACAGAGAAAGGTCCTGTTTGATGTTTGAGGACTGAGGTCCGGCTTTTCCTGTAATTGTCACATTGTGGAAAAGACCAGAATTCGGACTCGGCAGGGCATGCCGCAGACTCTGCAGGAAAGGCTTCCCGCTTGCCCTAGATGTAAATATTTTCACATGCTGGGGTATGGGGCCCTCTCGGGTATACAAATAACTTTCACAATTTTGGTATGCTTAAAAAAAAAAACCCTACATTTCTTTAGGGACCTCCTAACCCTCTCAGTTTTCCCCCAAGCATCTGTCTGGCAAATGTACACAGAGAACTTTCCTGCACAAGCCACAAGTAACCTTATATTCTCGCTGCCATTTTTGGCTCTGGGTCACACTGTTCTTGTGCCTGGACTGTAAAATACATCTCAAGATGCCCCACTGAAAACAGAAAACCTTACTGACAATGTCAGAGGTTAAAACCCAGCACCCAGCAAAGTGATGTGCTGTGAGGTTAGTGATGCATTCTTTTCCTCGCTGCCTGGATGCTGCTGTGGATTCTGTGTTGTAGCAAGGCTCTGCTTGCTTCCTGCACTGGCGTGGGCAGCTCAGGAGAACTCCGTTATGGAAAGGGCAGGCCGGTGTTCCAAATCCAGACAGATGAGAGTGGATCACATGTACAAAGCTTTCTATGGCGAGGGGTCCAAACCTCCCTGGCAATCATGGTATCTGTTTTTAATCCCCTCCCAAAGCAAAACAATTCTTTCCTTTGTACTAATGTGCCCTGACTGCAACACAAGTTCTCTTCTTCTTGTTTATGAAATTCAAAATTACATGTTGATCAAATGAATTATATGTCTAGATAAATTACAGACTAGAATTATAGTCTAGTCTTACTAAAACAGGGAGACTATTAAAAAAGAAAGAGAAGGAGGAGGAGGAGGAGGAGAAGGAAGAGGAAGAGGAGGGGGAGCTGTGTAAAAGGAATCAAGATTCGGTATTTTTCTTGGTGACTTGACATAATTATTACAAATGCAATTATTTGTGCGGAGGCTAACTGAGTGCTCTGCAATCTGAAGACAGGGGCATGGTTAGAAACCGAAGGAACTCCATGCTGGATATATATGTACCTTAGTACATATATATGCTATGTCTGTTCACATGCATTGTTACGACACATGTTAGAATGTGATGTTTTGGGTCTGTGTTGCTACAGTTGTTTCTAAAAGCCTTTGTTAGACACACTTGGTCCTGACTTTTCCCAGCAGCCTCAGCAGCACTGGGTAGGTGGGAACCCTGTCTGTCATTTCAGGGAAATGGGCAGACCAGTTACAAACCTGTGGCTTCCACAGCCCCAAAGGTTTAGGAAAATACTGAACAGGATTTACATTCAACAAGCGGCTTGCTTTTCACAGAATTTGTTACCTGCATCTTCCCGTGTTCCCGTAGTCCCTCCGTCATTCTGTATCCCAGACTGAACTTCCTCTAAGGAGCCATATGGTTTCTTGGGCTCTCTATAGACACTCTTGTAGGTGCACACACTAAGACTGCTGCCACCAGCCCCTCTATTTCTCACAGCTTCCAGAGACGATTGCTCTCTGACAGTGGCCAAACTTGCTGCTCCAAGACTCTTACGAGTACAGACTTGCTGAGGCCATGTCTACACGAGCCTCCATGGAAAGGGATAAGGAAGGCAGGTGGGTTCTGAAGAGCACAATGGAGGTGTCATGGTGGGTGGGATCTAGGCCAGTTTCTAGAAAGCCAGGCACCTCCAGGCTGGACTTTGTGCTACTGCAAGCAGGCTTTCCTCAAGACAGGCGATATGAAAGCCCACGTGTGGATCTAATATTTTGGGGAAACTTGGTAACCATAAGCATGATTGGTGGGATGTGCTGGGGGGTTGGGCAGGAAGCAGGAAGGGCAGTCCCAGCTTTGGGCATTTTAAGAGGGTGAAGGAAGCTGGCAGAGCGTTGTAAACAGAACTCTTCCGTCTGAGAGCCCTCTCCAGGGGGCCCAAGCTTTTGGTCAGCTGGCCTCAGCAAGGGTCCATGTTTTGGGCACAGTGAGGGGCTATCTGAGTGAATCTGGGACATCAGTTGCACAGTAGTGGGAGTGAAGCCTGCTCCTGGCTGCTGTGATGGGGTCTTGTAGAACTAGACTACAGGGTTCTCCCCTCTCCCATCCCCAGGAATGGGCACCATGCATTTGCTTCTTAAGATAGGGGCCTTAAGGTGGCAGACCTCCTCTGGTTCGGCGGTGGCTGCTGCCATCTGGCCCTGGAGAGCCAGGTGCCCATAGTCACTGGTCATTTGTGAAGCCAGGCCTCCCAGCTCCTCCGGGTTAGTAACCGACTTAGTCATCTGGAAAAAGAAAACAAGCAAGACACAAATACATACACACATACACAAAGAAAAGCGTCAGAACCACGTGTTAATACCCCGGGAAGGCACAGGGTTTCATTCACTTTTAGCCCCTGGGGAAGGTGAAGGCCAGGCCTTGCCATGAGGGCTGGACACTGGGGAGGGCGATTCAAGCAAAGGCCATGCTGCATTGCACGTGACAGGCCCGAGCTGTGACTACCCTGCAGCACAGGCCAGATGGGCACATGCTCAGCGTTCAGGCCGTGCAGCGTGGAGCCGGGTCCTCGGGGGCCAATCTCAGGGAGCTTGTCCTTTTGGGGGTCACCAGAGGAATTCTCACAAGGAACTTTGGGGAATAAGGCTTGTGAATGGTGTACCCTGCTCCAGGTTTCTACTGGGGATCCAGGCAAGAGAGGATCTGAGGACAGGGCTGCTACAAAGTACTGAATGAGACTCAGGGGAGAAGCCAACATCAGAGAATGAGTGAAGGGAATCAGGTCTTGGGCTGAATGGTACAAAGCATGACAAGGTGCTGCCAGAAACGTGGTGGTCCACACACCCCATCTCTCCGCACCTCAGCACAGCATGCAGATGTTTAATGCTACCCAGTCTCTGCATCCGCTTTTTGCAGGTCACCTAAAAGACATCCTTTGTCTCTTTTCTAGGGACTTCACTCCTGCCCTAGATTTCTTATCTCCACTCTTTTAAAAATATTTTATTTTTATTTGTAGTTGTGTGTGTGTACTCCAATGCATGTGTGGAGGTCGGAGGACAACTCACAGGAGTTGGTTCTTTTCTCTGTGTGGGTTCCAGGGACTGGACGAAGGTCATCAGCCTTGGTTACAAGCGTCTTTACCTACTGAACCACCTTGCTGGTGACATTCTCTATGCCCTTTAAACACCTTGATTTTAAAGGGCTATTCCATTTGTGTTTGAGACAAGGTCTCATGTAGCTCAAGCTGTCCTCGAACTCAGTTTGTAGCTAAGGATGGCTTTGAACTCCTAATCCCCCTGCTTCTACCTGCTGAGGGCTTGAACTATGCCCAGCTTAAAGGACTTTTTTTTTTTTTTTTTTTTTTTTTTCGTTTTTCGAGACAGGGTTTCTCTGTGTAGCTTTGCGCCTTTCCTGGGACTCGCTTGGTAGCCTAGGCTGGTCTCGAACTCACAGAGATCCACCTGGCTCTGCCTCCCGAGTGCTGGGATTAAAGGCGTGCGCCACCACCGCCCGGCTTAAAGGACTTTTCAAAAGCCTCTTTAAATGATTCTATATCTACCGAGGTGGGAATATCCATTCCATCTAAGGGATGTTTTAAGACATAATGTCACAGCCCTCATCCAAAAGTGGGTTCCAAGGAACACAACCTGGATCCCAAGAGAATGAAGTTGTATCTTGAGTGGTACCATTTGTGCCCTCTCAACAGGAATACAAAGATTCTTCACCTACCAGGTGAGGAGTGCCTAGCTCCCACCTAAAGTGCCAGGCTAGCTACCTCAGGATGGCCATGTACTGGAGGCTGGGCTTGCTGGGAATCGAGGTGCCAAGGCGCGACACAGCCTGGCTCAAAGTCTGGTCCAGAAGACCCTCTAGAAACTTTATGATGCCACTCAAAAATGCCTCCTCCCACTGCCACACTGTTCCCTGTCCTCCCCTGAAAGGATGGTCCTGGGGTAGCTCCAGCTTGCCAGGACACTCAGAAGTGATTCTAACTTCTTCCGCCTTCCTCAGGCCACACTCATTTCAACAGTAGGCCTGGTACAGAGTTCCCATGCATGAGGAGAGCAGGCAGGGAGGCCTTCGTGAGCCAAGCTCAACCTCTAGTGGACACACAATTACATGACAGAGTCAGCGGGAGCGGTGCCTCGGCCACTCCAGCTGGGCCACTTCAATCCCCAGCTCAGGCTTATGCGGCAATCCTCCCTAATCTACAGCATTTGGGACTCCGAGTGGAGAGGCACACGTTCTATGTATTAACTCTCTGAAGATCTCATTTGTCATCCTTCATGTAACTCTATAACGTCGAGAGAGCACACACTGCTTCCCAATGCCGTTTACGAAGATTCATCTGGAACAGTGTTTTTGCATTATGTTTCAGTGAAAAAAAAAAAATATTACGTTCAAGAGTGATACAGCTTCTGCTGTCGGGAATTAAGAAAAAAATAAACCATGTTAATTCTGCCTAGAAGACTAACTGCCCAAGTGATTATTTGATTTGGTCAGAGAGCTTCATCTTTTTACTATTTCACTCCCAAATATCTTTTCTTATCCTAGAATTTAAATCTATTAAAAAACACCCTGAGTCCTTTCAGAGATGAGTAAGACTCATTCCTCCTTAATGTCACCTTCTTTCTTATTTCCTGCCTTCTCGAATGTTCTCTTCTGCCTCTGTTCCCTGTCCTCATGCCCAAGTCTCTGGGGCTTCTAGACCACAAGCAGCCAGAGGGACTAGAGAAAGGAGGTAGGAGCTGGCATCCGGGAGGAACTGGCATCGTGGGCTGGCCACTCTCTCCAACACAGATCCCAGATTTGAAGACTCGGATGGCGGCAGACAAAAGGGCAACCCTCAGTGGGTGGGGCGGCTCCTTTTTTCCTTACCATTTCCTGAGCCGTGACGGCAATAGCTTTGGAGTATTTAACCACGGTTGTCTGGTAGTCAACAAATGTTCCCTTTGGTTCTGGAGGTGTGCCTTCATCCAGCTGTGGAGAAGAGAAGAGCCCAGGAGTCATAAGAAGCCTGGTCAAGCGGAGACTGTACTTGTAAAAATTAGAAACTTAGGAAAAATAGAGAGGCCTTCAGAGGTGTTTTGATTCAAACTCAACCCCAACTTCTATAATCAGAATTTCAATGGAGGTATAAGTAAGACATCCAGAGGACATAGGCAAGATGGGGTCCTGGTTCTATCTTACAGGAGTGGCCAGTATTTCAGAGGAATAGTGATTTCCAGAGGAGGCTGCCTTAAACGGGAGGGAAGGAATGTCAGGAAGAGGGAAAGCATTCAAGCACACGCTGATGAGTCTGATGATGCTTCCAGGAGAATACAGAGTGCTGGAAGATGAGGGGGGAGAGAAGGCAGAATATACATCACCAAGGACTCCCATACCACCGATATCTGTGCTGGGGAATGCCTAGTGATGGTCTAAGTCAACGACAGAGAACTGGAGCAACCAAGAACAACCTGCTGCTCGCCTGCCTCTAAGCGCACCAGCAATTAGGAAAAGGAAGAAAGGATGACTATGAAGATGGAGAAGGAGGGGGAGGAAAAGCCAAAGACTCCAGTGAAGGAAAAGGCTACCCGCTTCACCACTATCAACACCTTCATCATCTTGATGTTGAATAGCACCCAAATGATATTCCAGGATCGGCAACAGAGGGTGTGAAAATCAACACAGGGGGACCAACTATCGTAAGGACAGCATCAGCAAAGGGGAACAGGCATGGAGAGGGGTGGGAGTGAGGCAAGATCTGTTGGATGGAGCGTCTTGACTTCAGGGTGGGACCTGGACAGGCAGTTGAGGAAATCTCACAGTAAGTGAGGCTCATGAGCTGTCAAAGAAAGACTTCAGGGACCGCCTTTCACTTTCTGGGGATTTATAGGACATTTCCCTATTTTTACATTAATACTGAGAAAAAGAAAAAGAGGGTCGTTTGACTTTTAACTGCTACTAAGAAACTGTGAACTTCATTATTTAACATTCCTGATGGACACGTGGTTTGTTTTCAAAGTTCTGGTGTTCTGAAAGTCAAACAAAATCTCCCGCGCCTCGTTTAACGGCCTTGAGGAGGATGGGAAATTTACTTATTATCTGCCAAGCCATCCATATTTGAATCATAAGCAGCACACAGTGGACACTGATAGAGACTTTGAAAGAGTAGAGCCTCAGGTCTTCTAAGGGAGACACGGTCCAATGCATGCTCCTTCACTAGTGTGAAGATGGTGCCGAAGGTTGAGGAGCCCTGACTCTAATGATCGTTGCATGGAATCACTCCTTTATCGCTGCATCAGCAATTTCAGACTGCATATTCTCCTGAAACACTATACGGATGTTTTCACAACCCAACAGCAGGCATTCCCCGACACAGACACTGTCTAACACTGCTGCTCCTGCCCTCACAGGCTGACAATCAAATGTTGATGAACAACTGTTTACCCCAACACTATCAAAAGGACATGACCAGAGACAGAAGCCTGGCAGGACAAATAGAAACCATGGAGCTGAAACCTGCTTCAGCCTGAAGCAATGTCAACTGATTGGTTGCTGAGTAAGAAAACGACTCCTGTTGTCCCCATAACTGTCGCCTCTGAGAGCTCACCAAGGCCTTTCATACATACTATTTAATTGTTTATGCATTTAAGTAGATGGCAACAGCATAAGATATTTGAAAGTCCCATTAAAGATTCCTAGGTTCCACTTAATCGAGACTGCAACAGAGCAAGTCAGGGGTAGAGTCCAGGATCCTGCATTTTAGAAATTCCAGTGTAGCCATTCCAAGTGCTAACACTTGGAAATCACTTTCTAACTCCTCTTGGAGTTTGTTCCCCATCACAGGACTATGACAAGGACACAGGTCTAAGTAATTATTTCTATTTTACAAACAAGTAAACCAATGAGTCTTTCACAACATCTGCTTTACCACATATAAACTGGGAAGAATTACACAGTGGCTTACAGAGCTGGTGAATTAATAATGAAGAAAGAATGATACGGATACATGACTGGCCATCTGATCATTAGCTACACCCTTCAGGAAAAGAAGGCTTGCTGGTCTCCGCCTTGACTGACAATCAGTTTCCCAGAGAAGACCATGTAGAGACGGTATGTGAGAGAGATGGAGATGTGGTTGGAGGGGTTCTAGGAGCTAGCTTAAGCCTACCTTGCTCATGGCCTCTGCGATGGCATCCACCATGCCACCCACCAGTCCCACTTCACTGGCAGCTTCATTCAGTGTCACCATAATGTCATCCACAGCTTCCTTCATCAGCTGTGCAGCCTCCGTGATGGCATCGTGGGTGTGCTGTGCCTGAGAGGGGAATTAAAAATGTCTTCGGTAGCACGAAACGTTGTTCATTCTTAAGAATCACTTGATCTGTTAAGAATAACCCTAAGAAATCAGAAGACAGGGCTGGGCAGGGTGACGCATGTCTATGATCCCGGCACTCAGGAGGCCAAGGCAGGAGGCCCTCACGTTTAAGGCTAACTTGAGCAGTACAGTGAGACTTTTGAAGACAAACAAGCAAGCCCCAGGAGAATCACCCCCCAGAAACACAACCATGTAATTAATACATTCAAAATGTTTCCTTTCCCTGATTTCATACATTTACTTGCAGAATCAAACGTAATCCCTTTTTACAATAAGAAGAGAAAACTGCAACACCAAACTGTCCAGACTAGCTTTATATGCTGCTGTATTCAGAACGGTAGAGAATGCCACAGGTTCCTAAATACACAAATTGACACATTTAATTTAAAAATCCATAATACAAAGAAAAAATGTTTTCATAACAAACGCACTTCTCTTCAACATTGCCCAGCACACTACCATTCTCGTTCTATAAATAAACTGGATTACGGAATGTAGGTAGGTACATACAAGAGACATAAATCTGCCGAGAGCACACGGGGCTGTAGAACTAGGTGATAAGTTATATTGCTGCACACTGGCAGACTAGAAGAGGAACGTCCTCCAAGGGCTGATGCTCTGCAGGTAAAACCCGAGTAACCACATGGTCTTCAAACAGCATCCTGGGGACTTGCCAATGTCAAGGGTGGAAATAGGGGCTCAAAGTGAATTAGTGAATGGCTATGAAACAATGCTGGTGCAGGGCTCCCTACCAGATAGCTCACATGCGGGAAGACGGAAGAGCTAAGCTATGGGTGCAGGAAACCTAGGTTCTGGTTCTGGCTCTACCACTGACTAGCAACATGGCAGGGCTCAGCTTCCTTTTCAGTGAGATGGGAGGACTGTAAGAAGTCCACGCTCTAGAAGTCTGATGAACCACACAGGTACAGACACCTCATGCATGAGAAGGGCAGGCCAGCAGGAAACTCTATCTAACCCTGTGTAATGTAACCTAATGCCAGTGACTTACACATCACAACCACACTGTCCTCAAGTACCGGGTCTGTCTGGGCAACAGCTGTGGTTATCCTGGCCCAACTCCAGGGTGTGGGCCCCCACAAAGGCCCAAGATACTGCATCTTTACTTTGGTGAATATGAAGGAAGGGAAGCCAGTGGGACATAGACAAGGGGAACTCCTCGTTTTTGTTTTTAAATCAAAGAACTCCATGAAGAGGCACTGTGAGCCATGGGTCTGGGAAACAAGAAGAGTTTCTCAAATGTAGTATCTGGGAAGATGTCAAACAGGCTTCACACAGCTATCCTCGGGACACTCGTCAGGACACACATTATTCTGCCTTTGGGATGGAACTGAGTCAGTTCATGATTTAGTTCCATAGCTGACTTCATGGCCTTATTCTGCTCCGAGTCCTCAAGGTGGTATTCCTGTGCAGAACTCTCTAGAGAAAGCCTCTAACCCCACAGATTCTCATTACACAAGGTCAGACAGAGGGGGTGTTTCCCTTGACATCTCGGCTGCCATGAGAACTCTATTGACACAACTCTACATGACCACATCAAAGCTCAACACGTGTTTCAGGGGCGAGGTGAACCACTGCCAACCAGAGGCCTGCTTTCCACCTGTGGCCTTCACAGGTGTCCGGAGAGCAAACTCTTAACAAGGGTGGAGCTGTTCTATGGAGAGGAGTTTGTGCCCCTTCCTCTGGCCGACAGACTATTGAAACAATGCTCCCCAGGAAACTGGAGTCTCCCCCAGGAATTTCATGCTGGGAAAAGCAAAGGCTGAGTCCTGGTGCAAGTCCAGAGGGAAGCTGTCTCCCAGGAAGAGAATTCACGGTTGGACTAGTCAGACCACCTTGCTGGAGAGACTGGAGCCCAGGCAGTGATGACAGGCGGGACCACACCAGGATTTGGATTGCTTAGCTATGCATCCTTCTTGCCCTCAATTTAAACCTACACTGGGGAATTGGAAGTTACTGGACCCCTCGATTTGTTTTTCTTCCCAATGTGGCTATGACGAATAAATTATTCTCCGCCTTTCACCATTCCTTGTCTCTTCAATTGGCTCACTGAGGGCAGGTGCCAAACCTAGCTTGTCAGCACACCGCCACTTGGGAGCAGACATCGAGGATGCCATAGACAGGAGTAGAGCCAGGGTCTGACCTTAACAACTCTGGAAATGAGAACGTAACTCAGGGAAAGCTTCAGTGAAGCACAGAATGATCTTTGAACCTCCCTCCCAGTAAACATCTTTGCTCTTGGAGAGCCCAGAAATAAACTACCTCACTGTCTGCCCCGGAGATGAGCTGAGGAAGTCTCTAGAAGGTTTGCTCTTCTTTATTATTCATATTCTCTCTCTCCTCTCTCCTGTGTGTGTATACATGTTCATGTGTGGGGATGTATGTGTAGGTGCATGTGTACATGTGCACACGAGTGTAGACATCAGAGGCTGACCTTAGGTGTCATCTTCAGTCACTCTCCACCTTATTTTGGCCAGCGAGCCTCAGGTCTCCGGGGCGGAGACCACCTGCGTGTACTGCGCCGCCCATTTTTGTAGGCAGGCGCTGAGGGTCTGAACTTCCGGTCTCTGTTCTTGAGTGGCAAGCACTTTACTGACTGAACCGTCTCCTCAGCCCATGCGCTTCATATCTGAGTTTTACAGATTTCTAGAGTGTCAGCTCAGAGTTCACCTCCTCTGTGGCATCCCTAGGCATGACTTCCTCACCATGGCCTTCTGCTCCAAAGCCCAGGGGCAAGTTTCATCTTCTTTAAACAGCCCTGGCCCCAGTCCATACACTGTGGGCTGGCTGAGCACACTAGCTTTAGACGTCCAAAGACGTAGCGGGATCTCAATGAAATCACGCTTTAACAACCAGCGGCCCTCTAGGAAGCAAAGCGAGCAGGCCAACAATGAAGTCATTATTTTAGGGTCTGGAGCGATTCTTTATTACTGCTCCTCGCACACGAGAAAAACCACATCTGTTCTTTCTTGGACACGTGTCTGAGGACGGCTTCCAAGGAGCCTTTTCCTTCCGGATGGGACTTCCACTACAAAGGCCAGGATGGCAAGCAAAGACATCGGAGCAGCATGGAAAATGGGAGAAGACTACAGGAGTGTAGGAATGGATGTCAAAACTTTAGGGGTGGGGCAGGACAACAGATAATCCCGAGGGGATAAGGCTTGGCTGGGGTGCTGCATGCAGCAAACTTGAAGGGAATTCTATAGAAGAGAATGGGGGTGGGATGACCCAGAAGATGCTCAAGGGCGCATGCACATGCCTTGGTGTCTTGTTTTATTACTGGTCTGATCGGCCTGGGGTGTCAGCCCTCAATGGCCTCAAACGCCCTATGTAGCTGAAGAACGACTGACCGTGACTTCTGATCCTCTTGCCTCCTCCCTGCAAGGGCTGGGATTATAGGTGTGTGTCACCACTCACAGTTTATGCAGTGCTGGGAATGGAATCCAGGGCTTGGTGGATGCTAGGCTAGTGCTCTATCAACTGAGCTACATCTCACATTCTTGTTTTAAAACACCACTCTCATCCAGATCCTATCAGGAGGCATTCATAATCAACCTTACTGCTCAGTAGAGGAGACAAAGAAATGAAGAACTCGCTAGCAAGAGGCAGCACTGGGATTTGAACCCTTTATGTCTGATCCAGACCCTGGAGTGCTTGTTTTACCAAATCAGAACTACTGGTGACTATTTAACAACATTTTATTATGTGTTTATTTAAAATAAATTTGTACATTTATTTAGTGTATGCGTGGTGTGTGTGTGTGTGTGTGTGTGTGTGTGTGTGTGTGTGAGAGAGAGAGAGAGAGAGAGAGAGAGAGAGAGAGAGAGAGAGAGAGAGAGAGAGAGAGAGAGAGAGAGAGAGAGACCCTGCATACCACAGCACATGGGTGGAGGTCAGAAGATAACTGAAGGAGTTGGTTTTCTCCTTCAACATTGTGGGTCCTGGGAACTGAACTCAGATCAACAGGCTTGGTGACAATGACCTTTACCAGCTGAGCCAACCTACCAGTCTGGCAACATTTTAACTTTGTTTCTTCTATAAATGAGATAAACAATACCAAACCAACAGCAAATAAAGCTTAATAAATATTCCCCCAAACAATAACATTTAAGTCGATTAATTATGTGGTCTTTTTGGCCTCTAAGCAAAGGGTCTAAAGGAGCAGACTTGATGTCTGTTTCTGGGGTGATGAGGTGAAGCCTGTTACTTCAGCCCTTAGGAGGCTTGGGAGGAGGATTACAAATTTGAGGCCATCCCTGGGCTACAAAGGCATTCAGGTCATTTCTGAGAAAGAGAGGGGTGAGAGAGAGAGAGAGAGAGAGAAGGGAGGGAGCGGGGAGAGAGAGAAGGGAGGGAGGGAGAGAGAGAGAAGGGAGGGAGAGGGCAGAGAGAGAGAGAGAGAGAGAAAGAGAGAGAGAGAGAGAGAGAGATGGACCTAAGTAATAAAATCAAATATGGGTCTGTCTTAGCATTAGCTGTCAACTTGACAGAGCCTAGAATCACTTCAAAAATCTCATGTGAGGAACTGTCTCTATCAGACTGGTTGGAGGGCATGTCTGTGAGGGATTTCCTTAACTGAGGGCCGAGTTCATTTCGGATCGCACACCTTTAGGCAGGTGGTTCCAGGTGTGTAAGGAAGCGAGCTGAGCTCAAGTCCACAAGTCCAGGAAAGAGTGAGCCGGTAAGCAGCATCCCTCCACGGTTCCTGCTTCTTCCAGCTCCCTGCCTTGAGTTCCTTCCTGACTTCCCTCAGTGATGGACTGCCTTGGCAGTGTAAGCCAAATAAGCTCTTTGCTCCTCTAAGTTGCTCTGGGTCAGAAAGAGACTAGAACAGGTGGTGCTATTTCCCTGTTCAATGGTCCCCACTAGCTCCCACGACTTACAGAACGGTCAGACTCCTTAGCAAAGGAGATGAGATGCATCAGCACATCTTGATCCAACTTGTCCAACTGTGGTCCTCATCTGTGTATTCTAGATCAACCAGACTGCTTACAATTTTCTACAGGCACCACGTTCTTCTGTAATTCCGAGTTGTTACTTATTTATTTGGGTATGTGTGAGCCTAAGTATATGCATGCACACCATGTATATACGGGCTGGAAGAGGGCATTAAATTATAGGTGTTGTGAGATACTTGATGTGGGTGCTGGGAACGGAAGCCAGGGCCTCTGTAAGAACAGCAAGTGCTCTTCTAAGCCACCTCTTCATGCCCTGTTACCACCTCTTAAGTTCGAAGCAAAATGTGGCACGAGGTCAGTCATCCATGACAGACTGTTGCCATCCATGCCTGGCTCTTAAAAGAAACTTCCTGAAGAAATGTCCCTCTTACAAATAGACAGGGTGGTGGTGGTGGTGGTGGTGGGGGGAGCACTGTTATATTAAATTAGCATCTCTTGGGCTGGGGAGTTAGCTCAGCGGTAAGAGTGTTTGCCTAGCATGTACGAGGCCCTCCAACCCTGCAAAAACAAGTACGTAAACTAAATCACCATTCTATAAGAAGAACAGAAACCACCTTCACTGAAAGCAAATGGTGTTCCTTCATGCAAGTTAGGCGTCAACACCTAGCAGGGACCTCTTAAGAGTACTGCCTCCATTCCCACAATGAGCATACCATGCACTCTCCTGCCTACATAGCCTACCAAGGAAAGGGAACTTGTGAATAACCCTCAGCTACACCTGTTTGGAAAGTCACTGGGTTATTTCTCCTTTAGACTGGAAAAGACAACACAGGAGGGACTTGGAATCCCAAGGCAGCCCTGATGCCTTGAGCCATACCTTGGGGTTTCCTCCACCTTCTTTGGCTGCATACAGCATCTGCAGGGCGGACTCTGCGAGGGTCTTGGTCTGGTCCAGCACTGTCATCTGCTGTTGATGGTCCAGCATCTTGGAGGCGACACCGACTGCAGCTAAGATCAAGGGCTCAAAGTAGCCTGCCAGCTGTGTCACCTTTCAAGAAAGAGAAACCCCGGATACATCATGTAAATTCAGGCCTCCTTCTGGAGGGGCCTCTTGGTGAGAAGGGGGTTTGGAGCAGGGATGGGATGACTCATAGGAAAAGACGTATTTGGCTATAACTTGCCTTCAAAAATAAGCGCTATTCAACAGTCTATTGCTTGGGTTTTCTTCCTTCAAGGAATCCTCCATCTCCTCTCCGTATATGGTAAGAAACTCACTCTGGGATTCAGAGGTAGACACTAGACTCGTACCCAATTTTATAAATTGTCTGTTTTGTAAGTAAGAACTGTTAAGAATAAAGGACATCTTACAGGTTCAGAGGGGACGGGGACTAGAAGAAGGAGACGGTAGTGAGGTGGGGTGAGATGAAGAGACTCTGCAAGGTTTGCAGTAGACAGTCCAACTGGTGTGGCCACCGAGCACTGGACCAAACCTCGGGAGCGGAATGAGAGCAAACTGATTTTACCACTGTCTAACTGCTTTGTTTGGCTCACCCTGGGAAAATAAAAAAGCTTGTCAAGGGGCTGGGAATACAGCTCAGTGATAAATCACTTTTCTAATGTGTGAGGGGGTCCTGGGTATGGTCACCAGTGCTAAAACCGAACCAAACTAAACCGAACTTCACAACCAAAAGAACAAAAGCAAAACAGATCAAGACAGCTACCTACTGCCCTAGGATAGACTTCCTTCTGGCGGACCATGCCACACACATGCAATACATGTATATATGCTGGACATTTGGGTACCCTAGAGCCAAATGTCACAAATATTTATCAGGCATATGCCCTGTGCTTTTAGCTCTATGTCAAATGTTTCCCATCCAATTCCTTAGTTAATCTTGCCCTAATTTTAAGAGGCAGATCCGGATGAAGAGAAACTGAGGCACAAGTTAGGCAGGTGGGTGGGGATGAGGTGGGGACTGGGCTCACTTCACAGCCTGGCTCTAGGCTCCTACCCTCTTCTCTCTGCCGCCTTTCATGCTTTAATTTGTAGTCTAGTCCTGCTGCTCTCAGACTTGAGAAGTTCATCGCTCGGTATCTGTTTCTTGCTTTTTGACATATTTGAAGTCTGAGAGTGATAGAGTGACAGCCCTCTACCTAATAGTTCAAGGACGATATTTTTGTATCTGGCTCCATCTAGTCCTACTCTAATAAAACAAACCAGCACCGATGGCTGTCTAATTCTTCATTTTTGTGCAGTCATAACTCACTGCTAGGATTCCCATTGAGGGTATTTCTATACAAGTCTTTAGCCTGTGTCTTCATTAAGGCTTTTTTCCCACCACATGGAGGAAAGGCGGATGAAAGTTCTGGGGATGTACGCAGAGAGAGACCACCACACACAAGTAGGCACCGGGTCACATACAAAGCAAGGGTTGGGGGGTTATGAGGACAAGCCCAAGTATGAGTAGCAGTGTCGGAAAAAAAAGAACAATACTAGTCATTGCTGCTAACTGAGAAGGGACTCCTGGCCAGCAATAAGAATACTTCTGTTCTGCTATTCTCATTAGGTTATCTTACAGAGACGTGAGAGGGGCTGCTGCTGACCTGCTGTGCCTTTATGTGCATGTGCGTGTCTGCACTCATATATCTGGGTGCATGTGGAGGCCAGAGACTGATACCTGGTATTTTCCTTAACTGCTCTCCATCTTATTTTATTTGTGTGTGAGGTGTGTGTGCATGTGTATGATTGGGTCTGTATGACCATTTCCACATGTGACAGACTAGAAAAGGTCTAGTGTCTTCCTTGATCACTCTGCCTTATTTCCTTGAGAAAGGATCTCTCACTGAATCTCCAGGATCTGCCTGTCTCTGCCCCACAACCCTGGGGTTACAGGCACACACAGCAATGTTGGGCTTTGGACATGGGTGCTAGAGATTCAAACTCAGGCCTCCTTGCTTACACACTGGGTTCTCTTACTCCCCGAGCCATCTGTCCCTTGATCTTAATTTCTGAGATAGGGTCTCTAAACTTGGAGCTTGCAGATTTGGCTGGAATGACTGGCCTATGAGTCCCAGAGATCCTCCTGCCTCTGCCTCCTCTGTGCTGGGTTTACAGGTGTGTATCACTGCCTCCAGCTATGTGGGTGCTGGGGATCCAAACTCTGGTCCTCATGCTCGCATAGCAAGAACTTTCCTTGAGACACTTCCCCACACCTCTCTGGGTGCATCTGAAAGGAGCGCTTGAAGACCAGGAGGGAAGCCTGCGAGCAGACCATGGGTGGGTCTGGCTCCCTGCTGCCTGCTTTGTCCAGATGTGGATTTCCTCCACATCTGGAGGACCCAGCCGGAGCAAGCCCACCTCCCTACACACACACTTCCCCTCTCTCTCTTAGCAGGATTCCCTGATTGCATGGTACCTTGTGTCCCAGCTGGGCGGCTTCCCCTCGAGCTGCTGTGGCAATGGGATCAATAAGATGCCCGATTTCCTGGACCACCGAGGTCAGCTGCTCCTGCAGGGCCTGGGAGAGAATTGTCAAGGTCATTTGCCAATAGTTCCCTACGGCGCTGTGTCATTCTGAAAAGCCCTTTATGAAGGACAAGGGGACCTGCATGGAATCAGAATGTCTGGATGCTCCCCTGACCTTCCATGCCCTGGCTTGCCTTATTCCCCTCTCTCTCCTCAGATGAGCCATGAGGCAAGCCTGAGAGAAGTGTTTCTCACTGGCTTCATTCCCAGAGCACTGGCAACTGATGCTGGTGGTGTCTGCATGGCAGGTTATATAGCATGATTACTGGGAATGTGGAATAGCTGTACTTTCCAAGGAGAGACAACTTGGTCCAAATGGAGACAGCTCATTGGGGACTGTGGGAACATCCAGGTCTTGGTGTTCTCAGAACGTAAAGAGAAAGGAAAAGGTGATGTGAAAATGTGACCAGTTCTCTGAAGGCGTCCCTGAGGGTGCATCATGAAGACACCAGGTGGGCTACATGCAGAGCTTAGTCAGACTCTGCTCACTGTCCTTGGTGGCTTGTAGGCAAATATTGGAAATGACACTCCTGAGGTATTTCTCATCAGGTCCGAGATGGTTTAACCTCTCTGCGCCAAAGCAATGAGTTCAGGCTGTTAGGAGATAGGAAAGGGAAGCTGACAATGTTGGGAGGGGGTGGTTGTGGGGTGAGGAACTCAAAGCTGGAGACTAACTGGAAGCAGGAGAAATCCCATCCGCTTCTCAAAATCACCTTAGGAACTGGATAGGTTCAAGGTTAATAGATAAAAGCACTAGGCATCTTAGAGATAGATGTACATCCCACATGTTATTTAATAAAGTGACAATATCCTTCCTGTGTTTGTTACTCTGCCACAGAACCATGGTATACTTGAGCACGAGGGCTTCAGGCAGAGTTCACTCTGGGGAAAAAAAAAAAAAAGCTTAAGGGGCAAGCTTGAAAACAAAACAAAAAAGAGCTAGAGAGATGGGCAGGCAGAGAGAAGCTTCCCTAGAGTCCAAAGGCCTTATTTAGCTATCCTTACACACTAAACGTGATTATGGACAAGAATGCCAGAGAATCCCTTTGGTGTTTTACGATAGGTGGTTTGTTAAATTCAATATTGTATAATGAAGGCCCTTGGATGTAAAGGGGGTACATTTTCTTCTTATTGGGGGAGATAAGGCAGAGGATGTAGTTTAGAAGGGATGGAGATGGGGGCATTTCTGGGGTGATGGTTATGGGGTTTGGGGGGAGGGTAGTGTCTAAGTAGCCCTGGCTGTCCTCGAACTCATAGAGATCGAACTGTCTTTGTCTGCTGAGTACTGGGATTAAGGGTGTGTGACACCAAACCTGACTTCATGACCTGGGGGCTCCTTAAAGACAAGTCATCAACACACACACTTCATGCGTGTTCACTGTATGTATGTTCCCCTTGAAGAACAGGCTTAAAAGAGTAATTCTAGCTTTTCACATGGTTATTATGCTTAGTCCTACTCCTCATTTCCTGGAAGTGTGTGTGTGTGTGTGTGTGTATGTGTGTGTGTGTGTGTGTGTGTGTGTGTGTGTGTGTGTGAAGCCGAAGCAGAACAGATAGCTCCATTAATGAAAATGAGCATTGCTTAGCTCTAGGTCCACTGTGTAGAGAGCAGGGACAGAGTCCATTATGCCTAAATTCTATGGCAGTAAGGTCATCACACCGTTCATGTAAACGGAATGCTTTCTGAATATTGGGTACTGTGCTCTTAGCAGAGAAATAAGTATGGACTGCGAACTTTGTATGGGTAACAAGCAACGCAAGAGAGACCACAAAGAACAGATAAAGTGAGGATGGGGAGATGCTCAGGGGGTAAAGCGTATGATATACAAGCATGAGGACCTGCATGTCTATAACCCAAGTACAGGGAGTGGGGGATCCTAAGGGCTCACTGGCCAGCTAGTCTAGCTGAGGGTAAGCTCCAGGTTCTGGAGAGGACCTGTCTTTAAAAAAAAAAAATAGATAGAGGAGCAATTGAGCTCTCCAGCTCCACATGGGTGAGAACTCCCATATACACATGTGTATAACACACACGGAGTGAAAGAATGAAGTGGCCCAAAATTTTAGGATGCTAAGCACCCCCCCCCCCAATGCACACATATGAGATAAAGAATAACTCAGGGCACAACTCTTCATTCTGGATGGGATCAAATGCATTAGAGTTTAATGTCAAACTTGCCCCCAAAAAGTGCAAAGACAAAAATGTGGCCAGAGAGAAGCATTCAAGCTTTGCATACCCAGGCCTGCTCCTGCACGGACCTGTGCAACTGAACACAGCAGTCCACCTTAGGACACAGAATTACCCAATAGCGATCATTTTCCTACAGCCTCATTTGAACGCTCTTCCTAGCTGGCATGCTCTTTCCCACGTCCTCTTTCTCTTCTGAGCACTGGGCCTACTCCCTCGCCTGACTTCCCTGGTTGGTGCCACAGGGGCGGGCTGTCCATTATCGCACTCCAGCATTAGAGACATCTCCTCCCATTTCCTCTGGAGTTTCCAGCCTACCTCCACAGAGATGTCGTCCCTTGTGGCCAGGCTCTGGCTGACTGCTGCCAGGGAGGCCTGCTCAATGTCCCTGATGCAGCGGTTGATGCCATCGATGGAGTAGTCACACTCCCTCTGCCCAGGGGCCTTGTCCCTAAAAGGGACAGAAGAAACCAAACAAAAGTACATAAGGCTTAAACATGTCACATCTTGCTCCTCCACTGGTGTACAAGGAGCCTCCGTCCCACTTCGACATGATCACCTTTACTAAGCAGTGCATCTCTGAGGCTTGCTCAGCAAAGCCTGGTACACAGCCCACGCATTTCTTAATTAACACTTGTACCTGACATATTTCTAGCAGGAAGAATGGAATCTGGCCCTTCCTCGCAAGCTAATAATAGGCAATTGTAAAGGAAGCAATTTGCACTTGGGTGCTTCTTCCACTTTCCACTAAAGTAAAACAAGTTGTGTGTGTGTGTGTGTGTGTGTGTGTGTGTGTGTGTGTGTGTGTGTGTGCATTGTATGTCCATTTGTATACAAGTGCTTGCAAACATCAGCACATGGAGACTGTAAGAGGAAGTCAAGTGTCCTACTTGATCAGTCTCTGTGTTCGTGCCTTAAGACAGGGTTTCCCTCTGAAGCTGGGGCTAGTGTGGCAGCTAGCAGGCCCATCAATCCTCATGTATTTGTCTCCCACAGTTCTAGGACTACAAGCACACACCCAGGCCTGGCTGTTTATATGGAGCTAGTTATTCAAACTCAGGCCCTCATGCTTCTGCAGCCAGCTTCTCTCCACTGAGCCATCTCTCCAGCCACTGAGAGTGAAAGTGCAGCACCATTTACAGTGCAAACACACTCAGTGTTCCACAGTGCACACGAGTCACAAGCTCCTGGGCTGCAGGAGGAGCTGAAGTATTCAGAGGATTTGTCTTTGCACTACATTAAGAAAAAGTTAATTATAGCTTTGAGCTTCAGAAGCAATTAAGAAGCAAAATGCTGTAACTAAGAAAACAAACACATTCCACGTTGTAGGATACTAACTTCTCAACTTGAGAAATGTCGTTTTCTCAGCCTTTGGGTATTACCAAGAAGGTCAAAATACCCAGAGTTAGTATAGGCTGTAGAATATTCTTTTTGTCTCATTATTAGTCTAAAAGAACTTGAATAGTAGAGCTCTCTAAGCTCCTACAAGTTGATAATTCAGTGTGATGGTTAGAAGGGCTGGGACTGGAACCTTCGGGTGCCCATGAGAACATCTCTTAAGTTCCCTTGACCAAAACTTCACAGTAGTTAAAATGGAAACAATGATAATATCTACTTTAAATTAAGATGTGATGATCGGAAAAGGCAATGTAGGTAAAGTATATGGAATAATATCTGGTTTATAATAGGTGCTTAGATTTACTGTTATCGTGGCCAGTACTATTCATGGGTCTCAAAAGAGAGAAGAAAGAGATGACTGTAATTTTCTTAGTTTGCTTTTCTGTTACTGTAATAAACCTCCTGGGGAGGAAAGAAAACTCCTCTTATCTCACTGGGAAGTCAGGGCAGAAGCTCGGTACAGGAACTTAGAGGCAGGAACTGAAGCAGAGACCATGGACTAATGCTGCTTACTGGCTTGCTCAGCTACCTTCCTTATATAGCCCAGACCCATTTGCCCAGGAACAGCACAAGTGCGTGGGCTAGGCTCTCTCACATCAATCATCAATAAAGAAAATGCCCCACAGACATACCCACAGGCCGGGATGGTGGAGACAATTCCCAGGTGACTCTAGTTTGTGTCAAGTTCTTTATCAAGATTAGCCATTACAGTAATGATCAGCACTACAGGATGGGCATAATCCCTCCTGCTCTATTCAGGTGCAGGCTGGGAACTTTCTCTAGATGAGAAACTGACCTGATAGATGTGATGAGACTCTTAATGGAGTCCGACACGGTGTGGGAATGTCCAGCCAACACAGACCAGGTGGGCGGATCTTTGGGATTGATGGCCAGAGAGCGTGCAGTGCGGATGAGGTATGATGAGCTCTCCAGCATGGTCTTGGCTGAGACCAAGATTGGTTCCTGTGCCTGGGAGCCCTAAGATCAAGCAACAGAGAAGGTGAGTATGCAGAGACCAGTAGGTTGGGCCCTAGAAAGTCTTATTCTTCAAGTCAGTACTTCTGCTCTGCAGAAGGAAGCTAGCTAGCAGAAAGGGTCCAGACTGGGACAATGTGGGCCCAGGCTTTTTCCTGAAATTATAAATATAAATATATATATTTTGGTTTTTCAAGAAAGGTTTTCTCTGTGTAGCTTTGCACCTTTCCTGGAACTTGCTTTGTAGATCAGGCTGGCCTCGAACTCACAGAGATCCACCTGCCTCTGCCTCCCAAGTGCTGGGATTAAAGGCATGCACCACCACCGCCTGGCTATATTTCTTTTCTTAAATAAAATGTTGGAGTATGATGCACTTCATGAATGAATCGGCCCCAATCCCAGACACAGAGATTATTCTCAGTATCAAGCTATTATTTCTTAAAAGATAGACATTCACTGAGCTTAGCAACTGTGCACGAAGTACCATCCATAGTAACACAGAATAGTGCACACTACTTAGTTCTGCAGAATACTGTGCTTACTACAGGAACACAGTCCAGAGGGCGCCCACACCAGGTCTTCTGGAGCTTTAACTACCATTGCTCATTCTACTTCCTACAGAATTGGCCTAGACTCTAGAGTTCCGATTGCTGCAGACTCCCCTACCTCAGAGCTGATCTGAGCAGGAATGCTGACAAACTCAGGGTTTGATGCAAAGGCAGTCAGGTTCTCCACAGCTTCGATCAAGGGTGTGGTAGCAATCCGACACTTATTGCGGTTGTCTTCAGAGAAATCCCCATCCAGGGCCTGATGGGAAAGAAATGGAGAGTTCATCCCACTGAGAAACATGTTCCATTCCTAAGGCACAACAGCTACCTCCCAACAAGAGAGGATGGTTCAACGGGAATACTACTCCTCAACGAGTAGGAAGCAACTGGAGCGATCCATCCCTGCTGCCGACCAGGAGGCCCAGGTAGCCATCCTCAGGAACAGTCCAGATGTGCAGTTAGAACAGCAGTCTTGTTGTCACACCTGGCTGCCAAGCCACTTTCTCTTCCACTTCTGAGATGGAATCCTCTCCACTAAGTCCATTCCCTCACAAATGACGAAGATCCTTTACATGGTGTGACACTTCTGCCCAGCCTGTCTTCCTTCCTTCCTTCCCTCCCTCCCTCCTTCAGTTCGGGGAATGAAAACCAGAATCTACCCCTGAGTTAAATCTCCAATCCCTCACACTTCCAGCTTTCCTAAGTTCTACATCTGAAGCTCTCCTATCCCTGTAAGACCAACATCTTGGAATGAAGACAATGGAATTCAATGCAAAAGAATAGACTAGACCTACCCAAACAAATGGGCAATTCCTAACGCACACGCACGCACGCACGCACACACGCACTGGTCTATCTAGTTAAGGAGGTCGCACACAAAAGGGTACCTATTGCACAATTCCATTCATGAAAGTAAAAAAACAGGTAAAACTAACTGGGGTGTTAGAAGCTGGGTGACACTCTGGAGGAGCTGGGACACAAAAGTCAGGGCAGAGGTGACTTCCGGGTGCTGGTTAGGTTCTATTTCTCAATCTAGCTATTGTTACTCAGTATGTGCAGCTTGAGACAATTCACTGAGCTCTCGACATGATGTGTTTCTCCTCTCCACGTTTTATGCCTCATCTGTATTTAATTAGCAGCAGACACCACAAGAGGACTGAGTGATCAGACATGTTGTGGATTCAGGGCCAGCTTGGTGAGGATCCAGATGTGGCCTGGGATACATGTCAAGCTGCCTTTTCAAAGGGTTAACCCTTGAGGTCCAGCTTCTCCAAGCTCAGACTCCACCTCTTCAACAAAGCAGCCTGTGAAGGAGCGCCACTGCCCTGTCTTCTAGCAGAAGGCTTCATGGAGAAGGCAGTTTCGCTCGCAGAAGAATGCAAATTTCCTTGTTAAATGACCAATTAAACTTTTAATTTAATCCTTATGAGCAATCTATAAAAGCCTACTTAGACAATTAGTGAACAAACAAACCGGAGGCATTGGCAGTATCTGAGCAGCTGGGTCTGAGGTGGGAGTGAGCTGTTCCTCAGTAAGGCAAGAGGAGGCAGGCACTATAGGTCTGAAGGCTACTTCTGAGTAACAACGGCATTCCAGCCAGGCCTTGGCAGCTTGGGATAATAATTAGATAGCCACAATGCTAATATTTTCAGAGGCATTCATTCCCATGAGCCTGCTCACTTACCATCCTCAGTAATTACGGTGCCTAGCTTGCCTGGCTTCCCTCACCCAACAGACCCTGACCCTGCTCTAACCTCTTCAATTCAACCATTCTTCGAGGCCCACTGGAGACCTTAACAAATGCCTGTTACTTTTTGCTCACATGCATGGCCCACCTCTAATTGCCCTCCTGTACTCACTAGATGTTGAGTCCACATTGCTGCCCTGGCCATATGGAAAAGGGTTACCTCCAAGCACTGACCTCACTGTGCTATTCATGTTATAGCCTCCTTGAGGTTGGGTGCTATCAAGACACAGAGCAAGCTGGGAATACCAGTGGGAGGCGCGGTGGTGGATGCCACCTGGCAGGTGCCTGATACAAATGGTCCCAGCCAAGAAAATGGGTGAAGCAGGAGGATAGTCAGAGTGAACTTTGGAGACCAAGGAGCTTGGGCAGTTCCACAAGTTGCATTTGCCTAGGTGCTGAAATGACATGGTTTCCTTTCTTCCTCTCACCTCTCCAAACTCAGGCCTGCTCCTTTCCTACCTCCTTCTCTGTCTGCAAGGATGGAAAACATCTGGCCAGGTCATCAACCCTCATTTGAACTTACACAAACTGAAAAGATGACTCAAGGTAAATCTGAAGGAACAGTTCTCAGTGGTACAGCCTCAAAACATGGACCAATGAGATGCCAAGAGGATTTCTTTGGCTCAGCACAGATCCTACAAACCACATCTCATGGAGCCCATTGCTATTCACAGGACGGCACTGAATAACATGGGCTACGGCAGAAACCTATCACTCTCCTGCTTTGGCTTTCAAAAGGGAAAAGCTATTTCCCCAAAAGGAGGCATTGGGCATTAGCAAGGCTGATCTGTAAAGCTATTATTTCACTTCCAAATTTTGCTTCTACTGGGTCTGACTGAGCCAGCCTAAGTGAAGTGGCCACTCAAGTCAGCGCCACAGTGAAATGCTGAGCAGCTACAGCTGCTTCCTTGTGCCCATTTCATATCACAGAACGTCTCCTTCGCCACCAAAGGGGTAAATTCACTGGGCTGTATATTCAAAACCATGGGGAAAAGAGCACTCCCTGCCCCTGAGCCCGCTCCTCCTCAAGTCTTCAGTCTAACCTCACAGGCATGTGGGGAAAACATTCATGGACTCAAGGGGTTAAAGATCACTGAATGCCCACCTGCTTTCCCCAATAAAACTAGCATCTTGAAAAACGACACGATTTACTCAGTCACTCTGCTACTTGCTGTCATGTCTCAAACCATCACCCGAGACGCCAACTTGTTTCTTTCCTACAGACCTTAGGCAACAACCAAGGCAGCAGGGCCTAAGATGTCCCAGAGGGGTCCCCACTCCGATCTGAAGGACTCTACCTTACCAGTCCAAACATAAGGATGACCAGGAAAATATACTTACAGCCAAGTCAAATTCAATTAGAGAGAGCCGGATCGGGTGTCTGCGGCCCTCACTGGAAGTGCCTAATTGCAAAAATCCTGCGGTGAACGACAAGGCCAAACTGCAACTTCTCAGCAAAACAAAAGCTGGGGTTGCATAATTTCCACTTGGCACTCAAACCTGAGTGGCTGCACATTTAAAATAACATTCCATTCCACACATCTGATTCAAGGCTAGGTAATGAGCGTGATGGAGAGAGAAACTCAGCCGGTGTTCCTGCAGCTCACCCCGCATTGAGAGCCCTCCCTGGTAGGGGATAGATTGAAGTGAGTTCTCGCTGGGCTATGCTTGGGGAGTTTAAGGAATGCCATCAGTAGAGACCTAAGGTCTCAGTGGCATGCTGTTTGCTCCCTTCGTCATAGCTGGAAGGGTGCGGCAGCTGGGCGTATGTCTGGGCACAGCCTCATGGTGCAAATCAAACACACACTAAGGAGCCTAAGACAGCAAAAAATGCAGCTGTGACACAGCTCTCTGGACTACTCAGGAAATTAAGGATCCACTGGTTTTTCTGTTTCACAGGATACCTAACCGTTCCTTCAAATAGGAAATGCATTTAGTACAGAGCGAGGGCACTAAGGAGGTGACCTCTGCCATTTTCTGATTAGTGAGTGAAAGGCAACGCTTGAGGACTGGCCAGCAACCCCCACCACACAGTGGGAACTGAAAACTCTGGGCCCACTTTGGCACGCTGGGGCAATAGGCTCATCTCTGTTCCCTTTATAGTGATGCCGGTTTGCAGTGATGCTCGTGGGCGACAGGCTTTATGTGCCCCACATTGTAATCGCTGGGCTCTCCTCCTCTGATGCTGCCCACAGGCCTATCTTCTGGACCGTCACAAGAGCTTATCTGCTGCAGGGAATTGCAGAGGGGTTGACACTGTGAGGGGCATGTGAAAGAAGATTCCATCTTAACAGACAGACCAGAATTTAAAACTGAGGAGAGAGGGAGGCTGCAGGAGACAGAGAGGCTGCAGGAGAGAGAGGCTGCAGGAGAGAGAGAGGCTGCAGGAGAGAGAGAGAGGCTGCAGCAGTTTCTAAAGTCTTCCCCCACCCACCGACTTTTAACTAGAAAACGTTAATTATGCAGCAAGCAACAATGACATCATAGCTTTTAACTACACTGTCCTTTCCACCCCTGGCCCCCAAACTTACACTCATGCTCTGTAAACACAGCCAGGGCTAACCCCAGGCAGGAGGGATGAGTTCATCGCCTCTGTTCCAAAGAGCCCAGCAGCATGCCAAGACTGAGAACAGGGGCTCTGGGGCTCCGGCTTGAATTCTCATCAGTCCTTTACTGGCTGCTTTACCTAGGCAGTTACTTAACCTCTTTGTGTCCCGGTTTCCCATCAGCGAAATGGGCATGATAAACATAGCCTATCTGTGTGGATGAGACGAGTGATACACATAAAGCCTAAAATCCAGACTTAAAAACCTAAGCTTGTTAATTGCTCATGTCATGAACTGTGATGGCAAGGGAGATGAGCTGCCACGAGGATCCCAGAACACCAGGACGCTGGATTTAATTTGTTCCTTCATTTTCCATCCAGTTTCTTGTTGCTTTCAAACACACGGGGCTTTTGTTTGTTTTGAAAATGACTCTTTGTTGAAACAGCTCTGGAGCTGCTGACTGGGCGAACTGGCCCGGCTCTCACCAGCCAGCTTCCAGCTGCTGCAGGCTGCATGGATGCTCCTTCCTTTGGCCTCTGTGAGGCTCACTCTGTGATTGACTTCTCCATGGGATTGTGCAGCCATTTTTGCAGCACAAAGAAAACCAGGTCGAGCTACAGAGACCCTTTCACTGAAGTCAGGCTGGGGGTGTTGTCCAGTGGTACAGCAAGTGCCTACCTGGAACAAATAGCTAACTGGGATGTCCATCAGCATACCAAGATGCACCAAGGCTTTCAGGCTCACTCAGTACCTGCGGCACCTCTCAGCTTGTCTCACCATGCCCCCTACCCAAACCTCCCTAGCCCTGTAGCCCAGAGGGGTCACTCCCCCCGCCCCCCCTCAGCTTCTCTTTCCTATATAACCGTGCCAAATGAGACATGCTTTCTCCTAGTTCTTCTCTTGGTTCTCGGCTCCTCTCTAGGTCCGACTACCCTCTCTCCTCCTCTTCTCTCGCCTCTCTTCCTTTCCTGCTCCGCCCCATGTGGCCACGTTCAGTCTGAACTCTTCCAGATGCCTCTGGCTGTTCTCTCCTTCATATCTACAATTAAAAACTGTTTCCTCAACCATACCTTGGAGCGGTCATGTCCTCATTTCATTTACCTAGCATGCACAAGGCCACTGGTTTGATCCCCCCGCACCATCCAAAATCATAAAAAAATGAACAGCCCCTTTCCCTTCAGTACAGCAAGGTTCACAGAGAGCTTGTACCATGCCTCTCCTGACAATGTCCCTTTGAAGGCTGGGGGAGGGGACTGAGATAATACCGGGCTGTGTGTTTGTGGTTTGCTGTCCAGGTTTTGGCTGTTTTCCCACAATGTGTTTCCCTGATATGTGCACGGCTCTAGCTTAGAGCACCCACCTACAAAGACCACTGCCTGGTCAACTCAAATCACTGCAAGGGAGCCCTGTCTCCCCCGACACCTCAAGTCCTCATGGACTTTCACACAATAATGATTTTTTTTTCAGGAAGACAGAATGCTATCTTTAAAAAGTTGATGCTAAAACAAACAAACAAAAAACCATTTATAGACAGCATGGATGTCACAGGGAGATTTAAGTAATTATGTATGTGTATGCATGTTAGTACATGTCAGTGTGGGCATGAATACACCACAGTGCACATGTGGAGGTGAGGGGCCAGTTCTAGGTGTGTGCATGTGTGGAGGTGAGGGGCCAGTTCTAGGTGTGTGCATGTGTGGAGGTGAGGGGCCAGTTCCAGGTGTGTGCACGTGTGGAGGTGAGGGGCCAGTTCTAGGTGTGTGCATGTGTGGAGGTGAGGGGCCAGTTCCAGGTGTGTGCACGTGTGGAGGTGAGAGGTCAGTTCTAGGTGTGTGCACATGTGGAGGTGAGGGGCCAGTTCTAGGTGTGGGTCATCCCCTTCTAAGCTGTTTCTTGAGACACGATCTCTTGTGTTGTTTTGCCAGTATGTACACCAACCAGGCTAGCTGGCCCGTGAGCTTCCAAGGAATTCTCCTGCCTCTGCTAACCATCTTGCTGCAGGAGTGCTGGAAATGCAGAGGTGCACTAATGTGTCAGGCTTTGACACGAGTGTGGAGATGTGAACTGAGGCCTTCATGTTTGTAAGGCAAGATACCCACTGGGCCATCTCTCCAGCTCCAAAGGGATGTTTAAAAACACAGTTGTTTTATAATTTCCCATTTCCTTTCCCTTCCACATCATCTCTTGGTTCTAAAGTCTCCAGCAAAACCAGAACCTTCTACCAGGCCACTCAAAACCACCCAAGTAAACAGTTTAAGTATACATAAGCTATACCAAAAACAGCCCTAAGAGAGGCCCCTAGTTTCAGGCCCTAAGCTCCTCCCTACAGAATCAGGAGGTGAGTGGAGATGTAGTTGGTTGGGCTTTCCTGGTGAATAACTCCTAATTAGTAAGCAACTCCTCACCACTCATGACTTACAGGATACACCTGCCACTCGTGTATCTGAGGAGATCAAGCCGCAGCCCTGCTCCTCTCTCAGCTCTGCACAGGGATCAACCAGACCTGCAATACAGTGACCCACCTTGATGGTCTTGACCAGGTTGGCGGTGCTGTTGGCGACCTCCTTGGCTGACTGCACAAAGTGCCTCTTGGCCACAGGGTTGGCCGTCTTGGATGAGGCGATGCGGCAGGCGTTGCATAAGGCTGAGGTGTGCTTGGCCACAATGGTGGCAGCCGACAGAACCTACAAAGCATGGAGCGGGGTTGGGTGTGGGCACCACGCACTTCAGTGCACAGGAGCCAGGGTTTCTCGGCGACTCACTGGTCTAGAATCTAGGCAGGATTGTTTGTCCAGCTCTGCTGTCCCTCAAGTCACCCCGAGGAAGGAAAAGAGCATGCAACATGAAGCAAGGGGGAATGAAAATAGAAAAGGGAAGGAGGTGCTGCAGCAGGAGCATGCTGGGCCCCAGGCTTAAAGGGGATACGGTCAGCTAGTCTTTGGAACTCCGAGTCCAGGCCCCCGGCCAAGACTTAAGACATCTGATTTCAAGTTTTCCAGTAGGCACATTAGAATGAGTAGAAAAACTAGAGAAATTAATTTAAGTAATACAGTTTATTTAACTCACTGTATCCAAAATAGTTTATCATAATCAATTCACAAATTGCAATATAAGTTTTTGTTCATGCCAAGTCTTTGAAATTTGGCATGCACCAGATACTTACAGGCCAATCACTATTTGGACCACCTACTTTTCTAATGATTAATAGCTACATTTTGTTAGTGGCCAACTCCTTGGAGAACACAGGTTTAGATGGGTACAATAAGCATTGAGATCCACCACTCCCTCCTCCCCCTCAGGAGAGCTGTAGGTAGTGAATAGGAGTCTGTGGACTATCTATCAACTCCATCCTCACCCTCAACTCAGGTACTCTCTTGAAGCCATAGACTTCCCTTGGTGGAGGAAAGGGCTCAGGTGCATTTGATTATACACTCTGGTCTGTAAGCCCTGGTACAGTCTTCTTGGATTCTTGTACTGCTTTAAGAATGCTGGCCTAAGTTCACAGTAGGCACACCACCCACAAGGCTGCCTCTGGTACCCCACAGCATACGGTCCTCTTTCTTTTCAGTACATATTGCTTTCCTATGTAACCAGATCTCTGTGACACCAGAAGCACTAAGGTATGTGATACACACTCTCTGTTCCTCAAATGTTTCTTTGGCTCCTTTTCTGTGTTGTGGATTCTGACCTCAACTCTGAGGCTTGACTCAGTGCCGTCATCTCTGAAGTGACCTGAGAAAACTTGTCACACTTACCCTGAGGCATCCCTGTCCTGGTTAGTTTTTATTATTAACTTGACATAACCTATAGAGTCATCTGGGAAGAGGGAACCTCAACTGAAGAACTGTCTCAACCAGACTGGCCTGTGGCCATGTCTTTGAGAGAGTGTCTTGGTTGATACTTGGTGTGTGAGGGCCCAGCCAATCTACGGGCAGAACCACCTCTAGGCAGGTGGGCCTGGGCTATGTAAGAAAGCAAGCTGAGCATAGGCCAGAGAGCAAGCCAGTAAATGGCATTTCTCCATGGTTTCTACTTGAGTTTCTGCCATGACATTCCCTCTATGATGGACTGTGACCCGGAAACGGAAGCTGAAATAAACCCTCTCCTCTCCCAAGTCGTTTTTGTTCAGTTTTTTATCACAGCAACAGGAACTAGAACAATCCTTTATCTTGTTATCACACCCCAATGGAGTCAGAACCAAAGGGGGCAAAGGTCAGATCTCACTTACACAGACTTCTTAGTGCTGAGTAGAGAACAAGCTATCAATAAACAGTGGTGAACCGCATCATGAATTCTGTTGTTTTGCTTCACTCTGTTGTGTCCAAGAACCCTATCTGTAAGCATTTGCATATCCCTGCCTTTTCCACATTTGCAGTACTCTTCTGGTCAACGTGAGGGCAAGTTCATTTGTCAACCTGACACAACCCACAATCACCCAGGAAGAGAGTCTCAACGGGCATGCCTGAGGGGACTGTCTTGATAGGGGACTGTCTTGATGGCCTTCATTGATGCCTGGAAACGGGAGGCATCATTCCCCGGGTTCAGGTCCTGAACTGTGTAAGAACAGAGAAAGCAAGCTGAGCAGAGGCATGCATGTGCTCTCTTTGCTCTTCAGTGTGTTTTGACGTAACGAGCTGCTTGAAGTTCCTGCCTTGACTTCCCTTCAATGATGGGCTGAAACTCAGAATTGTAAAATAAATAGCCCCTTTCTCCCCAAAGTTGCTTTTTGTCAGGGCGTTTCATCACATCACCAGAAAAGGAACGAGGTCAGTCAGTGTCTGCACAGCTGCAGTCATGTGGGCTTGCAAGCTCTGAAGCATTCTCCGCTCATTTCTCCATCTCCCACCACCCATCCAGAGAAGCCTAAGAGATGATAGACCCCACCATCCTTTCCTCGTTACCTGCGATGGGCTGCTGCCAGGGTCCACCAGGTTCTGGCATGCCATCTGGATCGCCTGGTTAGCCCTGGCAAACTGGATGGGGTCCACCAGGCCTTGGTGGCCTGCCTGGCTGTTTGGATCAGAGATGCCAACCAGGTATGCAGCCTGGAAGAAGAAAAGGAAAAGCACACCTCAGGCTCCACGTTCCTCCACGAGCCAATGGGAGACAATGGTCCGCAGTGTACTTACAGCTGGCAAGCTCAGGTACTCCTTAGTGCAAACTGATCAAAGGAAGCCTGTCCCTCTCACCAGTGAGGGCATGGTGACAGACAGGCCTATGCCAGTTTGACATACCATCAGGAGTTTGCTGCAGGCATCAGGGAACAAAGCCTCCTTGTTCTTAAGAGAAAGCCTTTGAGCTGCTCTTCTGTGGGGCATGGTCATGGATGGAGGTAGCCCACACAGCTTCTGGCAGCCATCATATGACCATGAGGATACCTGCCCTGAATGTGAAGCTGACTCTGGCTTCTGGTCAGAAGAGGCAAAAGAAAGCTGGTGCAGACTGATACAAGGAGCTCCTGAGTCAGTCCATCCTAGGGCCTTTGCTACCCAAAGGTTTCCTAACACAGAGCTTAACATGTCCTTGTTTAGGTTACTATTTCCAGTATCAGTTAGACTCTTAGCTTAGGTAGCTGAGTGAGAAGAATGGGACGACTCAGAAAATGACACAAAACGAAACAAACAAACCAAACCCCAAAAAGCAACAAGATAGCATTGGGTCCCCAATAGGACACTCCCAGAAAAGGCTGTTTCTTTGGGTCTCCCTTTGGCTGCGCTAGGAAATAACTAATGGAGGATGAGCTTGTGCGGTTTGAGGGGAAGGGTGAAGGTTGAGAATATTCTCTTCCAACTAGGGATGTTTATTTTGAAGTAAAATCTCCCAAGTTCAGGTTAACCATCAACGAACACTGGCTTTAAAAAGCTGCCTCTGACCTCTGTCTGCTCCATCTGCAGTACTCACAGAGGCTCACTGCCCTCCCTACTCCGGCAAGGAAGCACCGGCCCGTATTGCCCCTCCCACCCAGAAGCCATCAGCTTTCCCATGGTGCCTGCATCAGTGCCTGGAAGAGCTGAAGCAGGTCTCCCTAAGGGGCTGTGCTATGTCCTAGGGGCACGAGCTGGAAAGAACAGATGGACAGGGGACAGGCTCTCACCTGGGCCGCGGCCTCGGTCAGGCCACAGAGAGCCTTGGATGCGATCCCCACACATTCCCCAAAGGCAGGGAGGTCCCCAGTCTTGGCATTCTGTGAAATCCCTGCCATTGACTCGCCCAGAACCTGCAAAAACAGCAACCAATCATTGAGCTCTACTCCAACCCAGGGCTGCAGGAGGTTACCCTGCGGCTTTAACACTCAAGGCTACTTAATTTAAAATGTGTGTCACCTTTGCCTTTACTGTGCCCAAGAGAGAGTCAAGAGAGTTTTACCGTTTTTTGTCTGATGAAGATAAATAAAGAATAAAAGTAAAAGCCTTGCATCCAAAGGTTATCAGTATCTCCAGGAGGTACAGTCACTACACACAGATGATCAGGTAGAATCTATATAAAGCCTCTCATGGGCACACGGCCCAATCTGAGAACTACTTACTCCCAAGAGCATAAAATCATACCCAGGGAGCTAGACTTGAGAGTCTAGCCAGAAAGTAGAAGACATACTGTTCCTTGCACGATTAATTTATCAATTGAAAATTTACATAGAATTGTGTTAAAGTTATTCCCTAAACATTTTAAGTAGTTCAACTTGTTTTGAAAAGCACTGGCAAGTTCTTTCTTTGGCCTCATTAACAGCTGATAAGGATTTTCACAGTCAGTGTGTAGCCTAGAGAGGTCAAATGTCCTCTAAAGATCACACAGAAGGTCACATGGGTAGAGCGGAGCATTTATCCCAAATCTGGTGTCTTGTCCTCTGTGGGTTTTGGTATGTGCCAGGAGGAGAGTTTGCGCTCCAGGGCCATAGATGATGGAGTAGAAAGTGTTCATCCTTGGGTGAGAGACTACAGTGTATCAAATGTGACACCGTTTCCTGAGACAATAAGCAATTTTGGAGAGGAAACAAAATAAATTACTATAATTTCTTATATACAAAACAATCAAGCTTACACAAAGATGTGCATAGCAAAGCAGCTAGTAAATACAGTACTTCACCCTCTCTCCCACCCTCTTGAAGAAGCAGCCCTTCCTGGGGCAGGGCTGAAACTCAGGTGGCAGAGTGCTTGCCTAGCATGCATGAAGCCTTGGGTTACATAACCCACCACCAAAGGAACCAGCTGCGGTGGTGCACGCCTGCAAGTCCAGCAGTTAGGAGGTGAGGGCAGGAGAATCAGAAGCTCAAGGTCATCCTTGACTATACAGCATGTTCAAGGCTAACCTGAGCTACATGAGGCCCTGTCTCAAAAAAAAAAAAAAAAAAAAACAACAAAAAACAAAAAAGCCTGAATTTAAGTATTTAAATCATATGTACCCTCATTTAGATAGCCCTTTATTCCATGAAAGCTGATGAACACAGGACATTCTTGTCTTAGCCCAACACAAACTGAGCCCTCTTGACATCATCAAGACAGATGGCTCACCAAGATGGAAGTGATGGAAACTGGAAACCAGCATGTATGAGTACCAGGACCAAGGCCAGGTGGCAAAAGTTCAACCCCAATTGTCTCTCTGGTACCTCCTTGTCACTTTCTGATTCTTAGGCATTCTCCTCCATTCTTGTTCCTCAAAGGACTCTTACCATTGCTTTTTCTAATTACCACCATCAGCCAGTTAAACAGTAAGGAGTCAGATTTTACTGAGGAAAGATGGAGGAAGGCCTAGAAGCCATGGTAGTTTTTCAATACTTCTCTTCCCAACCACTCAAAACCCCTGTTTACTCCCCTCAAAAATGTATGCTATCATTGGATAGAAGAAAATATTAACAAGGGCCTTTCATGAAAGCCAAGGTCACAGGACGACTTTCCACAGCAGTTCGGCCTCCAGTATAGACGACACATGACTGGATTCACAGTGAGACCCATCAGTGGTTCTCAAGGAAGGGTTCCCAGACAACAGAGACAGAACGGAGAACCCCTCAGAAATGCATGTACCTCAAATCTTGGGGCTGGGGCCTGGCAACTGGTGTTTCCCAAACTTTCTACATGGTTCTGCAATACCCTGAGTGTTGAGGAACACTTGAGCAAAGTACTACATGACAAGGTCTCACCATACTGGGCCACCCAGTGGTGAGGTCACCATATTGGGTCACCCAGTGGTGAAGTAGGTGCATCCAAAGTCTTTCTCAATTTCTCCCCACTGAGGAGCAGTGTTGATATCTGTGTTTTGGCACAGACAGTGTGATGGTTAATACCAATTGTCAACTTGACAGGCTCTAGATGCAGCAAGGAAATAAGGCTCTTGAGTATGTCTGGGAGGGAGTTTCTAGACTGGGTTAATTAAGAAGGGAAGACCCACCCTAAATGTGGGTGGCAATATCCATAGGACTGGGGTCCTGGACTTCATAAAAAGGAGAAACTGAGCCGAACACCAGCTGCGATCTCTCTCCACTTTCTGGTTGTAGATGTGGTGTGACTAGACTGCCTCATGTTCTTTTCATCATGCTGTACCTTCACATTTAAGCCAAAACCAACCCTTCTTGTTTGGGTTGCCTTCTGTTGGGTATTTTATCACCGAAGTGAGGAAAGTGACGAACACAGACAGGCTCACCTTGGAGTTTTCCATCACACTCTCAATGCAGTCGAAGTAAGAGAGGTCACTCACAGGTTCATTGGGGTTTTCCAGCATCCCCTTGACAGTCTACAAAGGAGAACACAACTTAGAAAGTGAGCCAGAGGCACAGAAGAAAAGGCATTGTGAAGTACAACCATTACTACCCCTTGCTGGACTAGGACAAGGACCCTGATTGCTCACTCATTCAGTCATAGGAGGAACTCAGATCAGGGTGTCAAGACCTCAGATTCCCTGCCAGCAAAAACAAGGACAGGGGTGGGAGCCTCAGGTTACTGTTGCCAGGGGTGGGACTGTCACTTCAGTATGGGATGTATCTGCAGGGGGACTATCAAAAGCAAATCTGAAGTTAATGCAAAGCAATATATTCATGGTTGGCTAACACAATTTCTCCACTGGGTAACTCTGAAGAGCTTACAATCCAAGGACACATTCATTCACTCCTTCATGGTTAATAAGGACTCTCAACATTTCAGTTCTGGGACCTTTTAATGGAAGTACATGGAAGAAGGTAATTCCCAAAGATGGCCCATTGGGATGGTTCCCTTGTTATTGATTTAAACAGTATAGAAAATGTCTACTCTTGCTTAGTACCCATTTAGGAAATGGGTAGAGGTCTGTTTCTCTGTCTCTCCAAATCAGTGAGAATCATCACTAGCTCTCTCAGTGCAATGACCTTGGATTACCACCCACGAGGAGTTCTTCCAGTGACTGACAGCCTGGATGGAGATGGATCCTTGAATCTGCTCACCATCAACAAACTGACCACTGGGAGTCAGCAGGCTCTGGGGACACAGTCAACAAAAGGACAACACATGGGATAATGGGAGCTGCTGATACACATCACTTAAAGATACAGGAAAGAGGGTCATACAACGCATGAGCTTACTTCACTGAAAGCCTCTTCTTGAATAACTAAAATGTTTTCAGTACCAGTGATCCAGTTAGAAGCCATCATCGTGGCAACCAAGGATACCTTTGAAGCATACGGTACCTGGGCTAATAAACCTTATTTAGACCAACTGCCTATGTGTCATAATATTTTTAAAGTGAAATGAGCATGCTAGAGCAGTGAACAGCCCACGTGTGATGGCTGATTTTGGTTGTCAACCCAACATACTTGGAGAGAGGGAACCCGAAATGAAGAGCTGCCTCCTGAGACTATACTGTGGGCGTGTCTCTGGGACATTTTCTTGATTGCTAAGTGATGTAGGAAGGCCCAGCCCATCGTGAGTGGCACCATTATTAGGCAGACAGGCCTGGGCTGTACAAGAAAGGTGAGCTGGACATGAGCCTAGGAGGAAGCCAGTATGCAGCATTCCTCTATGGTTTCTGCTTCAAGTTCCTGCCTTGAGTTCTTGCCTTGGCTTCCCTCACAGAGGAACTGTAACCTGTAAGCCAAATCAGACTCTTCCTCTCGCAAGTTGCTTTTGGTTATGGTGTTCATCACAGCAACAGAAAGCATGCCAGAACACCATGTAAGAACCATTCCCAGCAGTTTTCAAATGCTTCAGTCTTGCCCTGTTGGACCCTTTCCCTTCCACTCTGCCTATCACTGCCATCAAGGCCTCGATCAAGCATCTAGAAGCTGCCATGAGTATTCCCACGGAGTCAGACCCATGCTAGCCATGCAGACAACTGGATGAACGGAACGGTAGATACAAACAAGTTGTGTCTACTGAGAGAACCACTGAGCGCATTCAATCGGATCTGTGTAGGTAAGGGCCACTTTACATAAGAGTGGGAACAACTGGCTTCTTTACCCACAGACTTTCTACGAGAAACATGCAGAATTTCAGATATAAACACACGCATAAATCCAAGTCAAAAGGCACCCACAAGCGCCACTAGAAGCCTCCTAAGTTATGCAGTGGCAAGTACTCCTCTTGACCTCCTCCAGTGTGTCCCCCTGCATGTGTCATGTGTGTTTGCTTGTGTGAAGATGTGTGCACCTGAGTATGGTGTTGTGGAATAATCATTTTGTACACTGTGAAGATGTGTCACTCTGATTGGTTTAATAAAAAGCCGAATGGCCAATAGTTAGGCAGGATTTCCAGACACAGAGGATGCTGGGAAGAAAAAGGGTGGAGATGCCAAGAGATGCAGAGGAAGCAGCATGGGCAGTACAGGGTAAAGGTAACCAAGCCATGTAAAAGAATGCAGATTAAAAGATATGGGTTAATTTAAGTTATAAGAATTAGTTAGAAACAAGCCTAAGCTACCGGCTGAACTTTCATAATTAATAATAAGTCTCCATGCCATTTTTTTTTTTTTTTTTTTTTTTTTTTTTTTTTTTTTTTTGTGAACTGGCAGTCCAAAGAAAAATCCACCAACATTATGGTGGCCATAGGTGAACTTCAGGTGCATTCCTCAGGTGCCATCAACTTTGGTTTTGAGACAAAATCTCTAGGATGTCTGACAAGCAAGCCTCATGGATCAGTCTGTTTCCATGCCTCTACCACCATGCCCAACTTCTTCATGTGTGGCCTGGTGCTAGAACCCAGGTGCTCCTGTTTGTGGCATGTACTTTACCAAGCAGGTTACCTCTCCAGCCCCAACCTCCATATCTCTCCCAGTTATCTGAGAATAATCCCTTTAATACTTTGTAGGCAAAGTTTGCTCATTGGCCGTCTACACTCAACACCACTTCCTGTTTGAATGGAAAGATCTTTTACCAGAATACACATTGGCCTAGAAGGAGAAGGAACACTGGTAAAAATATTACAAGATGCCATCTTCCCTAGTGCCTCCCAGCCTCCTAGGAGAGACAGAAGGCAAGGACAGAAGAGAGATAGTCACCAACAGGGGAAGAGACCCAGGGACACAGGCACAGAGTTCTCCCACCCTTGGCAGCCTTCCAGGGCACTCACCTCAAGCTCCCGCAGGGCGTTGTCACACTCCTTCTGCCCCGGGGCCTGCTGGGTACACAACATGATGAGCTGATTGATGCTCTCTGTGACAGCTCTAGGGCAGGGACAGAAAGGAGCATGGGCTTGGTGTTACTGTTTTATTTTACTATTTTATGTGTTTACACACTTCAGCCATTTCCCTCAGCAGAGGGAAGAAGTGACTAGTTAGGCTGTGGTCCCACGAGGTCTCTCCCACAAGCTCCTCGCTATACAACCCAAATAAAACACACCCAGGGAAGAGGAGAAGGTAGACCCCCTACCTTGCTTCTGATTACTCGTCTGATTTCTCAAGGGTTCTAACAGTTCCCTTAAGAAATTAAGACTATCTTTTGATATACTCATGAGAGACAATAAAGCTGCAAACAGCAAAGAGACCAGACTGACACCATTTTCAGGACCCTTCGGCAGCAGTCTTCAAGGAACAAGATTATCCAGGCAGGCTCTTTCCGACAGCCTTGGTATATTTTGATCATTTTCAAATACTCCAAGCAGAGAGTTAAATTTACCAAGGACTTAAAATCTCTACTTGCCAGTAAAGAGTGTGCGGATGACTAGGCCTGGGTAGCCAAGTCCCAGTCTTTGAAACAGCTATTATTGTTTTTTTATTAACACCAATAGGGTTACATCAGAGCCTCTGGTATTATTTTACATGTATTCTATTTTCAGAACTTAGAAGGCAAATCCAGTATTTTTCCTGCTCTACTATGAGAAGCCCCTGGCTTACCTTGGCCTGAGTTATGGATAATTTAGCAACTCAAGCTCTCTTCTGATTAGTTTCTCCAAGGTGGGAAACAGAAGCTGGTTTGCTTTTAGTTTAGGGACAAACGGAAGTCTGTTTTAACAGAACCTGTGGAGATCGCATCTTTTCTCCACTGAATTGCTTTTGTAAGTACACTCTGTTGGCCATATTTGTGGGGTCCACTTCTGGATCCTATTCTGTTCCACTGGCCAATGGTCTATTCTTTCTGTAATGTCATATTATCTTCAGTGTTATCGCTTTATAGTGAGTCTTAGAGGGCTGGAGAGATGGCTCAGTGATTGAGAGACTGTACTACTCTCGAAAGAGACCTGAGCTTGGTTTCTGGTATCTGTGTCAGTCAGCGCACAACTACCTGTAACTCTATTGGCAATCACTCTCAAACATAAACGCACACACACAATTTTTAAAAACTAAAACAATAAGTCTTGAAATTGCATAGAAATGATAAATATCTAGGCATTAGAAATGCTAATCACAAGCCCAGTGGTGGTGTCCCATGCCTTTAATCCCAGCACCAAGAGGAAGAGGCAAGTGAATCTCTGAGTTTGAGGCCAGCCTGGTCTACAGAGCAAGTTCTAGGAAGGCCAGGGCTACACAAAGAAACCCTATCTCCAACATCCCCCTCCCAAGAGAAATGCTAATCATTGATATCATCATTGCACATTGTACACATGTACTGAATTGTTATACTGTATCAATAATATATACAAATACTATGTGTCAGTAAAAGCAATAAATCTCTTATGTTTCATAAATGAAGACTCCAAAAGATGTGATAACTCCTTATGAGGGAGCTATAAATAAGGTAAAGATAAAAAGATTTAAATCCATGCCTGCCTATGTGGCTCTAAAGCTGACCCCAAGCCCTCTTTTGTAGGTCTATGGCAGGTCCGAACTTCTGGCCGGCTCAGAATTCTACTCATACTTCCTACCTGCCACAGCTGAGGAGCAACCTAAAACAACCAAGGCCAAAGTAAGACCCATGTGGTTAGTAACACCGCCTAATAGAAAAGATCCCCATTTTATTAGTTTAACAGGCTTTTCAGCTCACCACAGAATATCAAATTAGATGGAAAATGATGTTGCCAGCATACAAAGGCAATTAGCTGAATTATGCAATCAAATGTTGCTTTCCATTTTAAGCTCAGCTAGGGAGGATGAGAAGAAGAAAAACATTCTCAAACTTAAGAGAGAACCCCAAAATAGTAGTTGTAGGATGGAGGCTTGTGGCAAAGTGCTTTATTAGGGTGTCATCAGAAGAGTGCCACGCTTCCCTCCACGGGGGAAGGAAGAGAAAGAGTAAGGAGGCAGGGCAGTCCCTAGCTCCAGTGACCTGGGAGGGTAAGGCCACAATGTGTACATCTGTAATGTCCCTCAGAGAGCTCAATGCCATCTCCTGCTTGGCAGCTCTCAAGACCCAGTTCTGAGGGGATAGGCAAGCATACGTCACTGTAGTAAGGTTTAGAGAATGTCCTGAATTGTGAAAATATGATCATTAGACCTTATTTCTACACATCACACAAGTTTTCCATCAAATCCATTCCTCCTTAAATCTCAACACCCCCCCCCCCCCGTGAGCGTGCATGCGTGGGTGTGTGTGCATATTTATGCTTGTGTGCATGCGTCTGGAAAACAGATATCAATATTGGGTATCTTCCTTTATTACTCTCCCTCCACCTTATTTTTTGAGACAGGGGCTCTTACTGAAGCTGGTACTAGCTTGCCAGTGAGAACCCAGGATCTGTCTCTGCCTCTCTTTGACCCCTGACCCTTCCCACCAGCACTAGGCTTACATACAGAAGCCAGTGACCGCACTCAGGTTTTTATGTGTGCTCTGGGGATCTGAACTCAGGTCCTTACACTTGTGCAGCAGGCATCTTCTCATCCCCTATCTGGTTTACAGATTAAAATTTATTGTTATTGCTTTTATTTAAAAATGTTTTTATTAATTTTCTCTCAGAATTTCATACACTGTATTTTGACCATATTCACCCCTTCCCCTTAGCTTCTCCCTGATCGATCCTCACCTCACTGGCTCTTTAAAAAAAAACAACCATCCACTTTAATTATGCTGCCTGTATGCCCATGGATGCAGGGCTATTCACTGAGTTGATCCCCCTACCAGGAGCCACCCCCTTAAGGAAACCTGGCTCTCCCTCCCCCAGGAGCCACCAAGGGCCCACAGCCCCTCAGACAAGGGCAGGGACTCCTGGACCTATTGCCACCCCATGTTAGAATGCTGACTGGCTGGATCTTGTGTGCAGGCAAGCACAGCTGCTGGGAGCATCGCAAGTGCTACTGCGTGAGGATTTTTCCATTCAGAAAGTGTGGACAACTGGTGCATCCAGAGGAAACAGAGCTATGAGAAAGAGGCTCCTTTTCCTAGTCTTTTATTGTTATAGCTGTGAAGAAAACTGTAAATTGAAAGATGAGAATAAGGGAAAAAAAAAAACCAAACAAAACTAGGCAGACTAGTAGTTTGTGGTTGGACAAACTACGAAGATGCTGGCATGGCACTGCACATCTAAATGAATCACTTAGGTAATTGATCCGTGACCAAACAGTTATGGTATGATTAATCTCTATCAGACATCTTAGAGACTGGATGACAAAACTATATAAACCCAGTGACTCAGAGGTAAAATGAACGCTTGACAATACGAAGTAACGTTTACGTATTTCACACAACAGCAGTGATTTTCACCAGCAAAGAATCAGCAGGGACCCTGCCCGTGCCACAATAAAAGACTGGCTAGCCGGGCGGTGGTGGCGCACGCCTTTAATCCCAGCACTCGGTAGGCAGAGCCAGGCGGATCTCTGTGAGTTCGAGGCCAGCCTGGGCTACAGAGTGAGTTCCAGGAAAGGCGCAAAGCTACACAGAGAAACCCTGTCTCGAAAAACCAAAAAAAAAAAAGACTGGCTAAATAACTACACAGGTTATAACAGGGTTTGGGGTGGTCACTGAAAGCCATAATGCATAACATATTGCTAATGTACTAGAATATTCATGATATATGCCTAAATACAATACAATCGGAAAAAAAAATGGTCTAAACAGTGAATCTATCCCCTGTGCAAATGATAGACTGAAACACATAAAAGGGTTAACAGTGAGTTTACACTGTTGTTTTAAACGTAAATTGTAACAAATCTAAAAAAACTATATATACACTGACCAATTATAATAAAAAAAAGTCACCAAAACAAGCAGGATCTGGGCTCTGTGAATTCAAAGCTACATCAATTTATTTCTTTAATATAAAAGGGTTAGGGTTGGGAAGATGGCTCAGTTGGTAAATCAGTTGCTTTGTAGGTCTGAGGAACTGACTTCAGATGCCCAGCACCCACATAGAAAGCAGGCTGCGGTGGCACACATCTGTATCCCAACACTGGGCAGGCAGAGACAAGGAGGATGCCTGGGCCTGGTTGACCAGCCAGTCTATCTGAGACTGAGAGCTCCATGATCAACGAGAGACCCTGGTTCAAAGAGTAAGATGGAGAGTGATTGAATAAGAGAGCCAACGTTTACCACTGGCCTCCACATGCACATCCACAAGTATATGAACACACAAACACACACACAACAAAAATATGTTAAACAGTCCTATTTCCCAGTCAACAGATTGTGTTTTCTTGTGCCCTATCTGTCTGTCTTTCTGTCTGTCTATATCTATCTATCTATCTATCTATCTATCTATCTATCTATCTATCTCTCTCTCTCTCTCTCTCTTTTTTATTTTTCAGTCAGGGTTTCTCTATTTAAGAGCCCTGGCTATTTGGGAACTTACTCAGTAGACCAGGCTGGCCTGGATTTCTTGTCTTTCTCCTGAAAGGCGTGCACCCCCACACCCAGCCTATGCTCTGTCTTTTATCTAGGTATATTTAAAGAATGGAGCTCTGCAACCTCAGAGACTAACAGGTGTAAATACTTTACATTGGATTGGATCGTTTTATATTGTATACAAATTATATATATTGAAATTGATATTGTTAGAAAATGCTATATGTATATTTCTAATTGTACCATTCATTTAACAATGTAATATAATTTTCTGATTCTTGAATGTTGTTATTACCTACTATTAGGATATAAAGAAATGAAAGTTAGTAGTTAGACATTATAATAGAACTTGTAGTTATATTAGGTATGTTTTCAAGATTGAGTAGATATATTTTAGATAGACAGGTTATCTTCAAACCCTTCAGAGATCTACAGAATATGGCATTTAAAATGTTTTAATAACTTAGAAAATTTTTCTTTTTTGTTATGACTATGAGACATGTCAGCTCCTGGC